GGCAGTGATGGGCCATTTGTACAACAGATCGAGTGGGGGGGGAGGTGGTACAACTGGACCGGGGTGCCGGTTCAGCTCATTCGTCATCTGGACCCTTGCCACCCATCCGGTTAGAGTTAGTTGCGCAGCTTCCGGAAATTTTGAGATTTTGAGGTGGTTCTTTCGGACTATAACCTTTTAAAATCGAACTCGAAAAATCAGCAAAAATCCGGTACTGGACTGCTAACGGGGGATGAATTTTTCGCAGGAACAATTTTTTCTAGTAATCCTGTGCGGTCGCGTAACAAAATACAGACCATTTTGGCGCTTTACACAGTTTTTAGATATAAAATGCGCAAAACAACGTATCAAAATTTTCGGAAATTGATTTTTGGGAAAAATCTGGATGAAAAATAACCAAAAAGTCAAGATTTTCAAATTTTCAAAAATGCAAAAAGGTTTTGAAGTTTCAGTTGATGTTAAATGTCTATCAAAGACATTTTTTGTTCAAGATGGTACCTTTTATTATATGGCAGATCCGACAGGGTACAGCTAGCAAAATTTGGTGTCAGCCCAAAGACCACCGTATTCCATACCATTCCACCGTACACCCAAAGGTCATGGATTACAACCCTCCCAACAAGTAACACACATACACACATACACACACCCAATGCCAGATCATAAAAACAGCATTGTCTACTTGGCCGTCAAAAACCACCGAAACGAGTCGGATATCACAAGGGGGGAGAGACCTAGGGATCGAGCCCCATCCGTCCCATTTTACGCCCATTTTATGGCCAGGAAGCGCTCGGGGGGCCTGAGCAGGGCCCAGATTCGCCGATTCCTCCTTGCTGCCAGCCATCAGGGGATCGGGTGAAATGGGATTGTGTTTTGAAAAAAACGTTTCGTCACCCTATCCCTTCGCGAAAAAGCTGTAAATGGCGCGCTTGCAACTCATAACACTCATCAGCATCGTAGAACTTTTTCGTTTTGAATGGTTTGTTTTTCAATACGCTAATGATTTTTCAGTACCAATAACTAGAATAATTTTGGGTCTGTGTCAGGGCGGGACGACTTGAACCCGAGGGACTGAAAGGAGCTTGAGCTTGATGCTCAAATTGTCTAGCACAATTCAACCCTGCAGAATCCAAAATCATCAAACTGCCATTTAGGTTTAAAAAATTGATTTCCTATAATTTTAGCGTCAGAAACGGCTTATTGCACGATTTTGAACACAGTGGACCAGGTGACGTGCGAGTGGGGGAAATTGTTTACTTAGGTTTCTGGCCCGAATCGAAGGGTAGCCCGAAGAGCCGCGGTTATGTCTATTAAATTATTGTCTAAAAAACCATGTAATACTCAATTCTTAAAAATACCCTCTAAACCCCCAGAGAAGTAACCCCCTGGAGCAGCTGAAGTGAAATGCGCCGACGAAAAGCCAAAGTAAACCTCAACCGGCGGCCCCCAAAATTGCATTCGGTGCCTGAAAAAGGGTCGTTGTCTATGCTTCCCCCCGCGAATGATGGCATCAACGATTTCTCCGCGAAGAAGCCATCGAGAGCATTTGCCACACATAGACTGAGAGGGAGAAAATATAAAAATAAAGCGTGCCCAAGAACAGCAGCAAGGATCTGCGCCCTGAAAAGCAGCTACAATCAATGGGTTCAGCGCGGATTCCAGAAGGGGCCCTCGACTGGTAATCCGAGCCGAGGGCCAGCCAAAAGACGTCCATTAGGACCTCCTCCATTCAAGTCAATTGCAGATAAGGGGCTGCTGAGGGGATTCGGTAAATTTTGGTCTTATTAAGGCTTATAATTTTTGATTTTTGATTGAAGGGAAGCTTTTTCTAAAAGGCAAAAAACTTGAGGCGAGTTCCGTAAACCATTTCAATTCTCGATTCTCCTGATATTTATGCAAAAGATGTTGTGCAAGATGCAAGAAGATTGTGCTTATTTGAGGGATTTTAAGACATGTATGATACGTCATTAAGGTGTGAAATGCACCCGATAAGGCTTTTAATTTTATTTGAAAAATGCTATTTTCGAGATTGGATTGAAGTTTTTGTCAAAAGAAAGATGTTAGGCGGAATTCGCATAGAACTGGGTGATATAAAAGCAGCGGAAAGTCTACGTTTCGATTCTCTTGCGAGAGGAATTTTATGTAAATTGAGTATGCAAACTATCACAGTGCAGAGACGTTTTCAAGTTGGGTAATTTATTAGTTCTTATATTTCGTTGATAATGGGTAAAACGGATAATTGAGGGACAACCCTGACTTCCTTCATCCTATAAAACCATTTTCACCTGAAAAAACCACTCCCTTCTGCCGTGTGAGCATGGAAGTGCGGCTTTGGTCCCGAGGGGATGGATGTACTTCCTGCCGGACTGTAACGGAAGGTGAATGATGATGCCGAATGGTGGTGCTCGAGACTGTTTCAAGTGGCCCGCGGGGCCCCCGAATCTGACTCTCCGTATGACGGGAGAACCCGTCACCCACTTGGTCTATGTGGCAATCCGTGGCTCCATAAAAGGCCCCGCCGCGTCCAATGCTCCCCCCTTCCGTGTCCGCGCAGCACCTCGCTCCGCGCTCAACATACACACACAAACGCAATCATGCTACTTGGCCACTCAAATCGGCTTGTAGTCGTATTTCTTTCGTCAATTTGGCTGATCGATGGTTACAATGAAGTGGGTATTATCGGATTAACTTTTTTTAGCTTTTACTTTACTTTTTTAAAACTTACGGTATTCTGTGCTGTCTAGCTTGCAAGTATCCGTTTTTAACATGTGCCGTCAATGCCTCAAATTGCGGAAACCCGTATCTAACGCCCTTTCACTCCCCTTCATGCCCACCTAAACAACGCTCTCTTATTTCGAGCCCATGTTTTAACACCCGGGTGTAAAGAACACCTGGGCAAAAAGTGTTTACTACTGTAAATAGCGCTCTTTTCACTACAGCAAGGCTAGAAAAGGGCGTTATCGGGCTCTAAAGCGCATTTGCCAGGAGTTTAATGTATAACCTATGGGCGCCTACATCTCTCTTTTTACCTGTCTTTGCGTAAATAGGTGTTTACGCTTAATTGCCTGAACATGCGCCTTAAATACGGATTGCTTGAAAGTAAAAACTATTCTGCCTACCACTGCCCTTCCCCAAACCTTCCAACCAAACCCAGGAAAGTTAAAACTTCTAGGAATTATCGTAAACTATTTTTTCCAGTTCAAGTATACCGGTGCCGAGCCGAAGCCCCTGTCCCAGACCTCCAGAAGTCGACGACAGTTATGCGGCTGCATCGGATGCCCATGTCCAACTCTCGGCATCGTCCCAATCGCTCCACCTGTGCCCCCAGCTCTTCCCCCACCTCCAGCACCATTGCTTCCACCTGGACTTCCCGGGCTTAATCCCCCAATGCTACCGCCAAACGGCTTCCGAGAGGTAATCACACTTTCATTGTCTTTTCTCAACCCGCGGGTTTGTATAGGTAATGTATCCGTTGCAGTGCATAACCCCTTGTATTCGAAATTGCCAAACGACCTGCAGGACGACGCAATGCATCGACTTATGTCCCGATCTGTGCCAAGAACAGTGTTACTACCAGGTAACCTTTCGAAAAGCTATAGATCCTCTTTTAGGGCGGCTTCGGAGGTCCACGTGAACCGATACTTCCACCTCCACCTCCACCAGGGCCACTCTTCCCACCGGTTTGCTAGAAAAAAAAAATAGGAATTCCTATTTCGTTTTAGTCGATCCCGGGTCCCCTTCCATGTCCAGAATGTCTTCCTACTTGTCAACAACGCTGTATCACCAGCTCGTGCATGCTAAGATGCCCGTCGGTTTGTGCGAATTGTGTTCAGCCGGCGCCTATACCTCCACCCCCACCTCCTCCGCCGCCGCCACCACCACCGCCGGTTCCGGTAAAATTACCTCAAATGAGCATCCCGCAAGACCCGTGTTTATAGCGAATGACCTGCACACAATGTATGAGAATATGCCGTTCCGAGTGTGAAACCGTCGCCTGCTTCCAGCGCTGTCCAAATTCATGTCCGATGGTAGGTGCAGTGTCAAGAATGTTAATTCTTTTAGTGTGGCCCGATGAGACCTCCGCATGGATCCAATTCCATTATTCCGCCTTCTATTTCTATCAGCATCGATGGAGAGTATGGTGGACGTGGCCCCATTGGATCTGGAGCTTTGCCGATGCCACCTGGGAGTTTTGAGGTGAGAGAAAAACCTTTGTATGGCGACGTGCATAGCCAACGAAGTCAAATTCCTCCGAATCTTGCAAATAAAGGCTTTCAGTTTCCGATGACAATGTCTTGCTCTGCGTGCTCAAATGCATGTGGTCCTCAATGCATCGGGCCTCCATGCTTACAATCGTGCGAGGCTTATTGCCGGGAGGTAAGTCGACCCCGTGATAGTTTCTCATCGCCAAATAAGCATACATAGTAGAGAACGATTGTAGACATGCGTTCCACCGCCCGTCGCGCCGCCACCGCCCCCTCCGCCACCACCAATTCCGATCTCAGAACCCTGTGTGAGCAGCTGCCGGGCAAGCTGCTTGCCCTCCTGCATAAAAACCTATACAGTGGTAGGTTACCGCCAATATTCCTTGAACTTTGAATAATAGACGGAATGTGAGACGGTGTGCCACGAGACGTGCGTGCAAACTTGTTCGCGAGCATCCTATCCTTGTCCCTCGTCTCCTTGTGGCTGCTTCCAGGTGAGGGCCGGACAAGAACGCACGAGCGATTACTTAGGGCTACAATCAATGTGCCGGCGGATGCTGTCGAATATGAGGACTAACGAAAGATCAAAGCCTCTACGTGTAGCGCGTTTGGCGCGCCCAGGCTATCGTAAATAAATTATTTTCATGCCCTGCCCAATCCAAACCCTCATTCCCCCGAGATGCTAAAGGGCACCATCGCAGTGAAATAATATTAGTGTACATTCAGATCTTTATAAGCAAGAATATGCACAAACAAAACAAGAAACGAACTAAAGCTACTATTCTGACTAGATCACAGATCAGAGTTTTCGCGCTTGCCGGCCGCTAAATGTCGATCTTCACCCATCGGCTCGAACGACTAAAAAAAAGATTAACGCTCCTATAAGCTAATATTACCTGTTTCTCCAAATTCAGTTTTTCTTGCTCAAGTATGCTCTGCCATTCATCATCCAGCAATGGTGCGCTCTTGTCCCGTTTCTCCGCTGGCAGCATCTTTGGATGTACTGGAACACCCTTCTTATCCAGGAGCTTCTTCTCGTGTTGAAGAATCTTTTCCGTCTAAAATTTAAGACTAGAACTAGAAAGTAGGCAATACCTGCTCAGTCCAAGAATACCCGCTAGGGGAGCCGACCAGAAAATGACGTAATTTCCCGCCAGATAACCGATCCAGCTTTTCGAATTCCATGTCATCCATTTCCGGAATTTCTCTGTGAATATGAATTATCGTAGTTTGTGGAAAAATACCGTCTGATAGTGGAAGTCATGATTGGCCTGTCCTCATCATCAACTGCAGATCGCTCGTTGACGGCACCAGAAATATAAAACAGACGCCCGCTATCATCCTCAGCAAACGCATTTCCTAGACCGATTTGACAGAAACGTCGCGAAAATGAACCTTTTGCGTCTTGAACCACTCGCGGATGAGCCAGAAGTCTTGTTTCCGCTTCCAAACGTCGCATTTGTTCATCATAATCAACTCCCAAAACCTTGAGATTGGAGATGCTTTCTTCGAGCAGCAAAGCAGCCTGACCCAAATCCTAAACAAATGAATTCGCTCAAATCCAAATTTGCTACCTTTACTGCGTCCAATCCTTCCAGTCGTAGATATTTTAACATCTTCAGATTTTTCAAACCCATTAGCCCTAAGAACTGTATAAAGTATTGCTTGCAGAAATCACCTTTTGCACTAATCCGGTCACAACCGGAAAGGTCCAGCATTTCCAACTCTGGCATACAGCCTAGAAATAATAATTCAGACCACTTCAAATCAAACCTGCGATTTTGCTCATGACCCAATCATCAACGTATTCGCAGTTAGCCAAGCGCAACATGCGCAAATGTTTCAGATCGTGCAAGTTTTCAAACCCTAAAACATGAAATACTATAATAATGATCTTGGTACCTTCAAACATAAGCTCCGTTCCAGATGCATCAATAGCTTCGATGTACAAGCCAGGAACTTTTCTGCCAGGCAGGCTGTAACCCTAGAAAGGACAGTTTGATCAGAGACACCCTTCATACCTTCTTATTTCTTTTGTACCAGAGATCATCGCCGAGAAATTTTACAGCTGCACCGCGATGCACCAAAAAGTGAGCAGCCGCCAGATCAGCACCGAGAAAAAGGAGGCGCTCGGGAATCATCCTATAAAAAAAGTTAGGAGTACGATGATCTAACCTTTGATCATATTGTAATCCTTGAAAATGAGTATAGCGCTTGAAGCGACGGACGTTGTCAACAGAGTGGTCCAAATACCGCATCTGTGTGTGGTTCGTGTGGAGATCAATGGGGAACGCTCCGGTTTCCTTTCGCGTCATGTCCGCCAAATCTTTTTTGGGAGCAACTAAAAAACATATGCTATTACAAAGCTGCCTAACCATCCTCAGGACGCTCCGGGGTTAGATACATTCCAGTCGGAAAGCGGATGAAGCCCTTCATACGTTGTTTTTGTTCGTAATCGTCTTTCATTTCCTTCTCCAATTCTTGCCATCTAAAAAACGCAATACAGGGGCAATAGGGAGGAAACGCACCGCTTAAACCGAGGCCATTTATGAACCCATGCTTGCTTGTGCCGCGTGGTGATCAGCAGCGGCGTATGCGCGCACCCGAGGGCTTTTCGCATAAAACACCTAAATTTAGTTCAATTTCACTACCAGAACAAAATGATACACAAAAAGAAGACGAGCATACTTGACAGTATCGAAAAACCTAGAGCATCAAGATCAAGACACTATTAATAATCACAAGAACCATCTTTCCAGCCGTCACGCCACCGTTCAAAAACTTTGGTACAATCAAACTTGGGTTTTCCCAATTTGTCGTTGACCTTATTGTGCAGCTCACACATCCATGTCGCGAATTCTTGACGAGTGTTGAGCTTCGGCGGGGACTCGGCGAGGTCCTTTTGTAAATCCTTGGCACAGTAGTCGCAAGGGTAAAGTCGACTCAGATTGCTAAGGAAGGTTGTCGCATTCTTCTTGTCGCTTTCCTTAGCCGATTCTGGATAATAAACGGACATCGTATGCAGGAGTGTCCATGTGCTTCTCCCTAATTCATCCTTGTCAGCGGGACAATCGTTCTTCGTCGGCAGCTCCGCTGTTGAAGTCCCAGGCTTGCTTGCATCATTCGATGAAGATTCCTTGTCTTTCCGCTTCTGTGCCAACTCGCGTCCTTTTTTCATCAAATCTTCAACAGACACACATGCGCGGCAAGGTTTTCCATCGGGCCCGATATAATGATCCATCAAAAAAAGGAAGTTTCGTCAAAAAGGCTCGACAGGGCCTTGCAAGACAAGCTACGCGCTACTACTCGTGACAACGGAACTCGGTGCTGCACCCTCCCACGTAGAAATTTATTTCGGATCGTAATGAAAAATTAAAGTTTTGATTTTACACATTTTCTAATTCCTGGTTTCTGTTTGACTTCTTGGGAGATTTTTGATTCGGATGATGTACCTGTAGCGCTATTTCTAAATTACTTCTGTCTGGGCTTTGCCGAGCTACTATTTTGACATTGTTTTCCGCCCTTTTTCTTCAGCGGCATTCGAACAAGTGTACATAATATATATTATGAATTATAGAAAGGAAATGGACTGCACTCTACGGCTTGGCCGTCCTATTGCAAGGCTCACTGCATTGCGCGGAATGCGACGATATCCCTTCCCCGCGACATATGAAAGTAAGCGTTTCTAGAGTTGATTTGCAAAGATTTTTAGATGTGACATTTCCGCCGGATGATCAGAGGAAGCTTCCGAAGATGCCTAAAGAACCATTCTACGACTTGGAAAAGGGCGAGCAGAAATTCAAAACGGCCAAGCGAATGATGTGGTCTCGCGGCGTTGAAGAGGTGCCTATTTTGACTTACATATATATTGACACTCAGTCTCGGCCTTAGCTGGCGATTCGACGTTTGTGTAATCTCTGTTATAGATTCACACCGAGTTGACACACGAGCAATATGGTCTTGCGGCCGTTTCCGGAGGAATGATTTCCGCTTCTGATTTTGATTTTATTCAGGTATTCTGGAAGCTATTGTTGCACTTACAATTTTCAGGATCGTGTGAATAAAAACTTGTTGGTCAATCAGTTTGCTGTATGGCGTGTCGATCCTCCATGGCTCCCCAGGACTAAGAAAGCTCAGGTATGTTTTGTCGTTGGGTGGCGCAGATGTTGTAAGTTGTTGTAAAGAGCTTTTATACATTTTTCCGCTTTTAGGGTCAGCGTTTGGGAGGTGGCAAAGGATCAATCCATCACTATGTTACCCCGGTCAAGGCGAAACGCGTGATTTTGGAAGTGGGCGGATACATCACCGAAATTGAGGTGAGCTTCGTCCCCATCGCTAATTTTTTTTACAGGCAAAAGCCTTCCTTCTGTATCTTTGTGAACGATTCAAATTCCCTGTGGAGTTTGTCAGCCAGGATCTTTTGAGTCAACGACGAGCTCGTGAGGATTGGGAAGCGAGGAATAATAGGGTGAGGCAACACCTGTAGTTATTTTATATTTGGTTTAGAATACTTTCAATTGGGACACCGTGATCAAGTACAATATGCAAAACTGCACGAGCTGGTTGTCGCCATACGATGTCGAATGGAAGGGAAAGTACCGATGATTTCTGTATTTTTTACTGTGGTCTTACTTTTCTCTCTATCATTAGTTCTGGTTTCTAGATTAGTTGTACTGGATTTTTTTGTTGCTGTTTCGAATAAAATTTCAAGCATCGGGATTTGCCTGCTAACCAAGTATTTAGCTATGCTACTCCCTTGGGAGTGCCTTCTTCTACGTTACTGGATTTTATCTCGCGATCTACGCCCGGGCCGGACGCCTGTCCTGGATTTCCCCACCCCCACTACTGCTACATTTTAGCTTTATGCAACGCTAATAGTCATGGCAATTAGTGAGGACGATTTAATTTCGCTTTCCTTCCAGGTGAGTGGCATAATGCTTTATTTCGACGCTTCTTCATACTATTAACGAGGAGGATGCACTGCTTATTTTTATATACGCATCCCTACAATTAGGCGATCGTGTGCAGATTTCACAGGCAGCGATATTTTGCTCATAAACCCTGCTTCATAGATAACTCAGGAGCACGACTCTACCAACTTTTAGTTCTTTCGAAAAATCGGAAATCGAAAAAAACAGCTATCGGAAATCTTCGAACTTGAATGATGGTTCCACCCCTACCAAACAGTCTTTAGAGCGCTGCCGTACTTATAGCTGGCCTTCCCTTATCCGGCTTTGTATTATGTATATTCTTTTCTCTGATATTGCATTATGAGCAAACAACTAGAACGCACTGTGGCGTGGATAACTGGTAAGTTTAAAATTATTGGACTGATTCTTTTAGGTTACCGTCTGTCTCGGCAGCTGTTTCAAGCTACTCACCTGAAATCTATATTTGGCGAGTATTTATAGCCATTCACGGAGGGCCAAGGCTAGCTTTAGCCATCGCTTACAGGTTTGAAATAAGCTAACGTGGCCAATTGGATGAATCGAAAACTTAAACAAATCTTTAGAAACTTTCTACTTTCTTCGCCGCTTCGACCGTTGACCAACGTTTCGTTGTTTCGAATCATCTGCCAGTTGGGGTGCGTGATCAACCTTGCAGAAAACTTATTTCTCCTGGGGCTGACTTCAATTTCCTCAAGGGAGAACCATGGTAACCCCATCAAAAAAGCAACCCGATGCGGAATTTTCAGAAGCCCACAAAGTATGCTTCGTGGGATTCGTGATCTCCAGCTTGCTCTATATGTGTCTTGCCACATGGCTGTTCAGCCTGTCCGGACGACGACGTACCACTAGCCTGGTATGGCTGATCATACAACGTAAATACTTCTTTCCAGGGTGAAAGCTCTTATGAGTATAAAATCCTGGCATCGGCTGTGGCCATCATATCGATGACTATAGCATCGTACCTCTACTGGCGGCATAATGCCTACTGCGAACCTGGCGTTTACACGATTTTTGCTCTGGCGGAATATAGCTTTGTCCTCTCGAACATTGCTTTTCATTTCACTTTGTATTATGATTTCCAAGGTCGTCGCTTCTCTTTGACGTCGTCGAGCGGCTCTTATGGATATGATACCCTCTTGCCTATGTTGAATAAGGATACTTGATTGATTGTTTTCGGTTTATAGTTCTCGCACACACTTTCACCCTCCGCATTTTGGGGCGAGGATCCCGTAACTTGACTTGCTTTTCCCCTCCTTATTTTATTGCATAATTTTCAGCTTTCACCAGCTTCGGGTTTGTTACTGGCTCTTAACTCATACACAAGTGATAAAGTCTTCCAAGGTTTAAAGCAGATATTTAGCAAAACGATACCGTTTTCACGAGATTATATTTCGAAACCGACCTTGTGAAACTAATTTCCTCGTCTGTTCGTTTTCCTGATCGGTATAGCTAGACCTCTACAGTGCATTTTACAGGGACTATGGTCTACTTCGTTTGTGGCCGCTGCAACGATTCGCTGAAGAAGCAACAAGTACAGACGCACGAATACAAGTTTGTTGTTACCTTCTAAAATTCACTTTGCTGGTGCACAACGGGAGGCACCCAAATTTTTTTACGGCCAAGATTACGGAACACTCCGCTTCGGGTTGCTTGTTTTTAAGCTTAGACTTAGGCTTAACTTAGCTATGCCCAAGTCTAGCTTAGCCCCGGCCGAGGCCTAAGCTTAACTTGGCTTAGCTTAGCCTCAATTTGCCTTAAGGGATCGAAAACATTTGAGGGTTGACTTAATATAGGCTTTGCTTGGTTTAAGCATGGCTTAGACTTGGTTTTCAATGAAGCTAAGCTCAGGCTTGCCCTTGGACTAGCCTATGGGATAAGAAACGTAGTCTAGAACGTCTACGAACCTTGAACTAGGGTGCCCCCCCCCCCCCCCGTTGTGCATTAGCACCAACTTTACTATTTTACATTTTAGATGTCACTCGAACCAATACTCGTGTGTTGATTGTCAGGCCGTTTTCAAGTAGGTTAATATTTCATGCTGAATGCAATCCATACAAGGACACACTTTTAATGTAAAATTCAGTGCCAAGAGCTACGATGAGCACCGAAAATGCATCACGGAGAACGAGAAATATGGTGGGAAGAACTTTGTTGCGAAAGTGAATAAGGTGGGCCGCCTCCCAAAACTTACAGTCAAATCAGGGCGAAGCCAAGCAAAATGAATGGACCGATCAAGTTGAGAGGGCAATTTCTGCCGTGACTGAGCCCGGGCTAAAGGACTTGCTACAGCGCATCACCGGCTTCTCCAATATCCCTCGAAAAGTGAGTTGCAGTGGAAACGGCAAAATAACGGAAAATGAATAATAGTGTTTAACGCTCTCAACCTAGGAAGCCAAGTTCATCAACTTTTTGATGAATTCAATTCGGATCCATAATCGAAGCTTGTGCGAACGAGCGTGGGCCGCTATTTCGGAGGAAGCCAGCAAGATCCAGGTATAGAATTTTGGTTGTCAATAAATCCCCTGTTGTAGAAAGAACAAGCCCTCGCCAAGCAGCAGCGTGACGCCGCGGTCGATGCGCAAAAGAAGGAAGCCGAAGCTAGCGAAATCGCCAAATCGGAAGCGGTAAAGGAAGAGGATGGAGTACAGCGTAACGGGTCTTCCGGAAAATCGGTAATTTTTTGCAAATGACGTGTAATGTATCTTTTTGAAGATCCCGTCTCTAAAATGGCGAGCTTCGATAAAGCGGAAGCTTGGCGAGGCCGGTGGAGAGATGCAGGTTGTCCGATTATACTCGATCTAATGGAATTTCAGGTGAAAAAGTTGAAAAAGGCGATGCTCGGCGAATTTATCGCGGCCGGAGGGGAGAAAAAGGACTTTGAAGATGTCTTCCTCTATAAGCTCGGAAAGGTAGGACTTTTCCGTTGATTTTATTTCGTTCTAGTCTGGAGTCGACATCAAGGACGAGGCGGTGCGGCTTTGTGCGGCTAAATAAAAACCAAAACAAAGGTTCATTTTGTTACGCTGGTTATTGTTATTTGTTGTTTTCTGATAGAATAAACTAAAATATATCTGTTGTAACACACTCGAGCTTTATACATTCTAGGTTGATTTTTAGATAAAATGTTGGGTCCCTTACAGTCTCACATTGATCGGTAAAATGATACGTGGACAACGAACGGAGGGCACGTCACATCTGACAGTTTACGTAGTGGATTGCTTCTCGGTTTTGCCACCCTTCCTGCAGATCAGATTACCACCGGGTAGCCCCGCTCAATTTTGATTGGCACTATCGAAGGGCACCTGGCATATTCGAGGTTTTTTTATAGTAACTGGCACTACGCGATACCGCTCGCATGCGGTTGTTGCTCCTAATTTGGGTACTGTATTCGGTACCATGGTGCTCCTATACAGCCGCAGAAGAAGATGAGCTCCAGATTAATGAAATCTTCGTTGAGGATGAGCCCAGGTATGTTGAGGGCTAAAATAAATAGGTGTCTAGGTCTCGATTACTGCTCGTCAACGGGAATATGTTTTTCCATGCCGGGCTTGGGAAGAATATCACTTTTCGGACGGCTGGCGGCGGTTCCGTTTTTCTGCATGATACCGATATTTCGCAATTGCCTGAGCTGGTACGCCTGGAAAAGCCATCTTCCTCTATTTTTAATGACTTATTGAAAGGCATTTTATAGGCTTCGTATAACGAGACGTTGAACAGGCTTGGAATCGCGGAAGGAATGCTGAACAAGTTGGAAACCGATGTAATTTTTTGCAAATGATGCACAATTTCTCTTTCAGAGTTCGACTTTATTTCGGCTATGGAAACTGAAGCTGCCTCTGTACGATATTTGGAATAAGAAAGTGGGCATGTCACAGACTCTCGAGCCTTGTTTCAGCTGCAAAATCTGACATGGGACACGATGGCGCTAAAGAAATTGCTCAGGAATCTGACGTCTCGGGAGCTGCGGTACCGGCGGCAGACATTGAAGCTCAACAAGCTTGTGAGGTCTGTTTTTTAAAAAATATTGGGTTTTTGAAACAATGGAAAATGGCCGGGTTATAGGGAAATCTATACGAACCTTCTCGAGGATCGTTGTGCGAAGTCGCCCTGTCAAAACGGTGCCACTTGTATCCCAAAATACAACGGATACGTTTGTATTTGCCCGTCAACGTTCATGGTACGCTTGTTCAGGATTTGGATGATTCGCCTTTAGGGAAAGGATTGTGAAACACTACAGGACCTATGCGAATTATATGGCGGTACGCATGCCGGCTGTCAGAATAATGCAACTTGTAATACCACCAGTGTCGGAATGAGGTAAGTTTTTAATTTGAATGGTTTGTACAATGCTAAACCAGAAATAATTTATTCTCCACCAGCGCCCAAAACCCGCTTCGCGGGCCTTGGGCGCTGGAATTGGGCCTTTGCATGAAAAATTTGCCGATAGCTCGGGTCCTTTGGACCCCTTCCCCCCACCGACCACACACGCGCGGGCAAATTGCAAGAATGAGGAAATTTGTATTTTTTTCATATTATGCAAATTACCCCCAAAAATGAATAAAACCGGCTTTAACTTTGTAAACTTGTATTTTATCGAAATTCTGAAAACGCCATCGGAAAGAGGAGGGTCGATTCCCCCAAGTGACAAAAAATCAGCGCATTTGGGACACGGGAAGGCCCTCAAATCGGGCCTCGAAAGTGACATCCACACACACACACACAGAGATACACTCCAAAATTATATAAGGTAGGATATTTCCCCATTTTTCAGCTGTAATTGCTCGAGCGGATTTCACGGCCCTCTTTGCCAATACAAAACATCGACCTGTCTGAAGAATACAGAGATATGCGGCCCACACGGACACTGTATGGAAAAGGAATCTGAAACTGAGGTAAGGGTGCAAAAACTCGTGTCCAAAAAATCAGAACCCAAAAAAATATTACGAAAGCTGTTTTAGCCGAAGTACAAGTGCTTGTGCGACTGGGGATACGAGCTATCATCCGATACGAAGAATCCGACTTGTGTCGACATTGGTCGGGCGTGTTCTATAAGAAAATTCGTTTGTTTTTAGATGAATGCCGTACACAGCCGTGTCATCCAGGGGTCAAATGCGTCAATCTGCCAGGGACGTTCACTTGTTCAGGCTGTCCCAGCGGCTTCAGAGGTACGACTCACATTGAAATTCGATTTACAGGCTTCTGTTTCTAAAAAAAACATTCTTTTAAGGCACCGGCCAAAATTGCTACGACATCGATGAATGCTCTGAGGGGCTATATCCGTGTTCGAGATCCCCGCAAGTTGACTGCTACAATACATACGGCGGCTATAAATGTGGCAGTTGCCCGGAAGGTAGTATAGGCTGCGTAAAGACATGCTTTTTAGGGTATTCCGGTGATGGCGCTACTTGTACGAAGCTCGACCCTTGCGCAGCGGATATGTCGCCCTGTCACCCGTTGGCAACTTGCCAACCCGATCAAGCTGGCTAGTTCCAACTTTGCTTCATTTTTATTTGGAATTTCAGGGGAATCGTTCACAACGGCTGGTGTTGTTTGTCACTGTGCGGCCGGATACGCTGGCGATGGTCTTGGTGTCGAGGGTTGCATTCGGTAGCTTTATGGTTGAATTTACTACATACTATGTTCTTTTCTAGAGATAACACAACGATTTGTGCTGAAGCAAATCGATGTTTGAATGATGGAACTTGCTTAGTAAGTCAAAATTTCACTGCTAATTTTTCCTACCCAGCAAAGAAAACAAACGGCAAAGATAGAACTATTGAATCTTTTTTTTAGCCAATTAGCGACTCTGAATTTCAATGTAAATGCAAGGACGGCTACATTGGGAAAAGATGCGAGCGGCCGAGTCCCTGCAGAAATAATCCCTGCCAGAACCAGGGCCTGGTAATCGAAAACCTGCAAAAGTTCCGAGCTAAACATTTTACAGTGTCAACCTCGTGGCTTTACTGGATTCTTCTGCGAATGCAAGGAAGGATTTTACGGGACGAAATGTGAATTGGAAGAAGACGGCAAGAGGAGGAGAATGGCCTTAATTGTAGAAATTTCAGGCTGCGGAATGCACAACAAAACGAGCACAGGGCTTTTGCGATATCCGGCAGATTTCCGCGTCAGGTCCGCGCGCGAAAGTTGCGACTTTGTGATCGCACCCGAGAATTTGACTGAAAATGTAAGATTAGGTAGTAAAACGGGATTAAGATATCTAGGCTCTGAATTTATTCTTCACATCGTTCGGTAAAATGGGGATGGGAGATCGATCCGGGCCCACCCGATGCAATGAAACTGTTGGCAGCTTGACCGTAAGTTCCGAGTAATAAAATAGTCACGCTATGGATTTAGCTGTACGACGGTGTGACGGACAAGGATCCATTGATTGCAGTGTTCTGCGGTGACAGCAGCACCGGTCCTACGGTATCCGAGGCAAAAAACCGGGTTATTAGTTTAGGCGCCAAACCTACATCAAAAAATTCGTTTCACATCTACGGTTGGAGGGCTGCTACGGTATAGCGGGGCGTTCGGGCCGATCTTCAATTTTGGATGGCGCTTGGATGCGCGAAGTTTGTTCACATTGTTCTTAAAAGGAAAAATAAAATAGGGTGCGGATACCGGACAAACGAGGAACAAGGGACAATTGAAATGCCTGATTATGAGGACGAAACGGGCTGTGAATGGTTTATTACGGTATGGATACGATGGGTTGATAGCTAATTCGTGCTTAGGTTCCGGCGGGAAAAATCATCGAATTTACCGTGCCACCGGTGGTGATGCCGACCGACGATACAAGACTGTGTACGGTCAATTCGCTCGAGGTTTGGCTTTTTTGTAGAAATAAATCTAGAATTATTATGCAGGTATTTGACGGATTACTGACCCTTTCAAGAATCATGGGAGTTTGTGAATCGACGAATCAAACCCTTGTTCTCCGTTCAACAGGGCCCACCATCACCATCGCTTTCCGCTACTTCCTCCAATTAAAAAGTATGCCTTACCCGTAATTTTCCAAGGAACTCCTTTGCCGTACTCTAGCAAGATATTTTAGGAAATACAGCCTCATCGACCGATACGACAACAGAAGCCCCGAAAATTTATCCCGGCTTTAGGATCACCTACAAGGCCGTCGAGCGTACGCCTTCGGCAACAAACTTGTTAAAAAGCTATTTTCAGCCGATTATTCGTGTGGAGGAGTTGTCAAATGGGACGGCAAAGATGAGTTTAGAGGGAAAATCACGTCACCGAACTTCCCTGGAATGTACTTCGCGAATCTTGATTGTACATGGTTGCTTGACGGGTCGATTGGACAGAATGAGACTGAGAATCAGCTGACTGATGATCATATGCTAAAGGTAAGGAAACAAAAAGGAAGTTGACTGCCACTGCCTTCAGCTCGAGTTCCCGACGTTTGATGTGAATGGGTACTGGCTGTTGGACTTCGGTAGTCGCGACCGTTCTCAACGTACCGATCGTTTGACTCCGTTTTCGCGGCCGCAATTTAGCCTGATCCCGCGCAGCTGCACGCCGGACTATCTCCGGGTAAATTATCAAAATGATATTTTGAAGTTGCGCCGCGAAATGGTCGCTTTTTTAAGCACCTTCAGGTCTAAGGCCCGGACAAAGTTACGTGGCATAACCAGATAGAGCAAATTTTAGATCGAGGACGTGGTCGCCGGCGAGTCGAAAGATTACTGTTTGACGCATAAGCTGACGAAGCCACTCTATATGAAGGGAGCAAAAGCATCTATCCGCTTCCACTCAAACGAGGCTGGGCCTGGAAAGGGATTCGAGATGCTTTATTCTCTGGGTGGGTCTGACTCAGTGGTTTTAATGCGTTAGCGGGGGGGGGGGGGGAATTATCGGGGAAGTCCCACTCCACTTTTATTTTCTAAAAGGTTTTTTTTCGATACTATTGAGACCCCCCCTCCGCTAACGCCACAGAACCGCTTCCGTGTGAATTGAAAGAACCTGAAAGTCGTAAGCTACTTTCGCTTGAGTCAACTTATTTTGCCAGCCAGATTGATCCAACAAAGATACCATAAAACAAGGCAGTCGCCTCTAAATTCCCTTTTCAGTTTGCGAAAAAGTATTATATGAGAAGAATGGGACGGTGTCACCCTGGAATTACCCGAACCGCTCACCTCGTCCCTTTAAATGCACCTTTGTCATCCCATCCGAGAAGAAAGAAGCCGTTCGCATCAAGTCGGCTCGCTTTATTTATTCCTCAAATTATTTTAGGATCCGCAATGTTGGACTGGAAGTGGCCACCACAAAGCAATGCTTCTTCAATGCTTCAACTGAAGATCTGGACGATTATATTGAGGTTTGAGGACAGCGCAGATTTTTTACAATTTTTGATGACAGATCGGTGGTGGAAACCCCCTGAATAAGAACCTGAATCTGCGTTATTATTGTCCGAAGTACCCGTTTACTCCCGGTTCGACATTAATAACCAGTGGAGGGAACCCGGTCGAGGTATAGCAAATGATAAAATCATACTTAAATGGCTTTAGATCACCTATTCAACCAGTGGACACGAGAAAAACACCGGTTTCTTGCTGGAATATGAGGTCTTTGACGTTGGTATGTTCCTATTAAGCATTAAAAATAACCATTTTTAATGCGGATCTCCAAGTGCTAACACGTTTGTTTATAGGCTGCGGCGGGACTTATAACGGAATGGCTGGTACCGTCAAGAGCCCGAACTTCCCAGAAAAATACCTGCCTCATATGCATTGCGTATACCAAATCACTGTGGGATACGTGAGCGCTGGTTTTACCATTAGAGCATGGTCATCTTAGCAAAAAATTGTCCGGCTCAGCTTTGACAACTTTGAAGTGGAAGTTGTGCCAAATGACGAGTGCTCTTTTGATCACGTTTCTGTCTACGATGGCGACATCAATGGACCGCTATTGGGAAGGTAATGTCAAGCTCAAAACAAGTACATGACTTAAACTTCAGTTTCTGCGGTACCGTCATCCCTCCCACGCTGCTTTCTTCTGGCTACAAGATGACGATCGTTTTTGTTAGTGATCGATCAGTCCCGGCAACCGGATTCTCGGCCAGGTAAGCTATTGCTTTCAAAAACAGTGACACTATTAAACGATAGCTCAAAATATTTTCATAGCTAATATATAAATTAAATGTAAGTTTAGATGGAGTATGGCGGACGCGACAAAAGATTGTGATCGATCCTATCTGGCTCCGGCCGGAGAAATTGTTTTTAATGGGACGGCGACTCGAGCCTTTGAATGCCAATACCACATAGCGGTTTGTTTAGAGGAATTTTTGTACGCTGACAATTAGAATATAGCGTTAAGGGGATAAGGATCAGAGCAGACCTACTCTAGAATTGGTAAAAACGGACGGCAACGTTACTAAAAAACGCTCTTAAAAACCGTTTGATGCCGCTTGAGATGGCTTGCCGGAACCCTTTAAAGGGATAGGGGCGGCATAAGTCAATCGATTACGCGTGGGAAAGAAAATGTCTCTGCGCCTCTCCCCTGGGCGCGCTCTCTCCCCTGTTGGCTACTTGCCAATTTGTTGATGGGGGGGGGGGGGGGGGGGGATCGACACATGCCGTCCGCAGCCCTTTAAAAGGCCGTTTGCGAGAGACCCGAACAAGGCTTGGCACAGTTTTTTTTTCGACCCCCATTTTTTGATGCCATTTGATAGAGCGTGGTCGAATTAGAGGAATCGCACTAATTTGGGATTTTTAAGTTAGCATTTTCCTAGTTAAACAAGGCGTCAAAGTTGCCAACGTCCAAAATTTATCTCGACGACTACTTGACAGAATTGGCTGAAACTTTGTGACTAGGCCTAATTTGGGATGGGGATCATTTTTCTAATACATCGCGAAGCACGAAAATTAGCAGAACCTAGTTAAATTGCATACCCAAAACACTTTTTGCCAAATTTCAAATTAACGGCGAGTCGGCCGCAAGCTGGAATTAGGCTAGAAAGATGCGCAAAATTTTTTTGCATCGATTGATGTATTATTTAGGTGGCGGCCAGGTCGCCGTTTTCTCACAGCGAGCTTTTTATAACTGAAAAATGGTCTGAAAATCTGACTAAAATGGAAAATATGGTGGTATTTACATATCGGAGTAGTCAAAACGCATCAAGAAATCATGCCAAGTCGATTGCAAAAAAGAGCAAAAAGAAATTCGGCTTCTGAGAGTGAGCTGGGATTGAACTGGCGGCGGCTCTGGATTGGCACGCCGACGCTCTACTCACTGCGCCACAGGGCTCCCAGGCGGAGGGTCCAGGTTCGATTCCCGCCCAAAACAAGCACCCCTTCAAATGTCGAATTTCTTTTTGCTAATTTTTGCGTTTAGCTTGGCGTGATCGTTAAATATGACCCCGTGGGTCAAAACATAGAAAATCGCAAAATTTTTGATTTTAGTCAAATTTTCTGACCATTTTTCAGCTATAAAAACCTCGCTGTGAGAAAACGGCGACCTGGCCGCCACCTAAATAATACATCAATCGATGCAAAAAAATTTTGCGCATCTTTCTAGCCTAATTCCAGCTTGCGGCCGACTCGCCGTTAATTTGAAATTTGGCAAAAAGTGTTTTGGGTATGCAATTTAACTAGGTTCTGCTAATTTTCGTGCTTCGCGATGTATTAGAAAAATGATCCCCATCCCAAATTAGGCCTAGTCACAAAGTTTCAGCCAATTCTGTCAAGTAGTCGTCGAGATAAATTTTGGACGTTGGCAACTTTGACGCCTTGTTTAACTAGGAAAATGCTAACTTAAAAAATCCCAAATTAGTGCGATTCCTCTAATTCGACCACGCTCTATCAGATGGCATCAAGAAATCGGGGTCGAAAAAAACTGTGTCAAGCTATAATGGGGACTGTTCGAGTGACTCGCGGACGGCCTTTTAAGTGGTTTAGCGTTTTTAGGTTGCCCCCGGAAATCGCATCCTCCTGTCTCTCAACCAATTATCGATGCCTTGTACGATGGGTATGCTCAGCATGAGGTGACAAAGTCTCAACTGGTCTGATAAATTCTTTTAGAAACGGCGCTAATGAACAATCCGCCGGATTTCATTCATTATACGAAGAAAACGAGGTCTGCGATGATCACAGCTTTAAGGAGCTACGGTAATGCATCTTACAAGCAAATACAAATCAACCATTTAGCTCTCACGGAAATCGCGTTTACTTCAAGTTGAAGACTAACAACCCAGCGGTGACTTCCTTCAATATTTCATATGAGACGCTGTCGGGCGGTGGGTTAGATATCGGTGCATCTGCAAAAGAAAACATAAGTAAATGCAAAGGAACGCATGTCAGTCGTATTTTATATTGAAATTGATCCTAGGTTGTGGTGGACACGTTGACGGCATACAGGGCACCGTAGCTGCACCTCAGTTCCCCCTAAAAGATGCTCGATCGATGGATTGCCAATGGACTATTGCCGTTGCACAGGGTTAAATTTTGAGCTATTGTTAGCTAGCTAGCTAGATTTAATGCTTTTTCGAAATTCTGTATGGCCATCCTTGCAGGAAACCGTATCAGACTAGCCCTCGCCATGATCGACGATTTGAGATCAGCAGACCAAAATGGCAATTGTGGAATCTATGCACACAATCTGCTACAGGTAAATCAATGCAAATTTTATAGAAAGAGTTCCTTAGATTTCTGACAACAATGGTCTACTGCGGCGGATTTGTAAAAAAGAGATTGGCGTCGCTCCAATTGTTTCGGAGGGGAATACGGTGGGTTCCGTTTAACTGGCCAACTTTTGGGTAGGCTTCTATAATTTTGCTGCAATTTAGTTGAATGTCCGCTACAAGCAATATGGCGGTCTACATCTCGGAACGCTCTTCGGCTTCCTCAGTCATTTCACCACGGGTATAATTTTTGGATGGAAATTTAGTGAATACGTGTAATTTGTGAATTTGTGTTTATAGTATCCGGGAGAAAGAGGGTACATCACAATTTTCTTTAGAATAAGGTACTTTTCGTTCTCTCATCCGAAAAGACTAGGACCTCGAATTTTTTGTAACCGGATTTTACAGTATGCACTGATGTAGTCCATCGAAGCATAATTGGGGCGCTGCAGTCACCCGGTTATCCAAATGAAGCGTATGGCAACCGGTGAGCTTAGTTTAGAAAGCAATGAAAAATTTTTAGTCAATGTTCCTGGACCATAATCGTGCCTCGAGGAAACAGAATTGAGCTGCGCTTCAATCGTTTCATCTTGCAACCGTCGAATAGATGGAGGAGTTATGGGAAGGAATGTGCCAATGATTATCTAAAGGTTTGTCTTTGTTATAGCTTAAAAAGCAAAACCCCGGAGGTCAGTACGATAAGAATTATTACCCCGAAAAATGTTCCCACTGTTTTTCTTGGCGAATCGTATTTTTCTTCGGATTTCTTTAAAAATAACAACTTGGCAAATTATTTCGAGATCATGACTTCGGGTCATAAATTTCGAGTCAGTTTATTCCATTTTAGTTCGGAGATGGCGAAGTTGCAAGCGCGGAAATAAAAGATCCATTGGGCGGCGTGAACGTCACCAACACGATCTCCACTTTTTGTGAGACCCAAACGCCGTTGACGGTTACGGTAAGCTGGAAATTTGATCTCGATCAGCAGTTCCATTCTAACCCATCACCCAAAAACTCAGCACTCATAATTCCGTTGCTCATCAACACTTTTAAATCCTTTTAAGCGGAAATTTTAAAGACCTATCTTCATATAGACATAATTTCAAGCATAGGAATTTATCAGTATCAAAATTTATGAATAACGAATCTTATAAACGAAGTTATAAGTAATTAATTTACCCCAACCATTTCATCTAGTCGAAAAACAACACGCTGCACATCGAATTCAACACGAAGCTGGAAACCAATCTATTTTCGTTGAATTGGCGAACGCTGGGTATTACTGTACGCACCAGGCATCTATACATGCGTGATTTAGGTTGTGGTGGCAATTTGTACAACGGTCAAAATGTGTCGGTGTCAAAGGAAGATATCGATCAGAATGCTGAATTTATCGAATGTCAATGGATGATGGAGACAGAGCCCGGCAAAGTTATTAATGTCATGTGGGAATATTTTAAAGCGTTGTAACGTTGGTGTTCAGCGTGCATACACTGTCTATTTACCGGCCGGCCGATGTAGAGTGTGACCCTGCTGGTGCAAAATATTCCGGATTGGGCGTAAGTCTTACTTAACGCGTTTAATAAAGTCAAAGAAACATGATAACCTTCAAAATTCCAGTTTTATTCCGGAAGAAACAACGAGTCCGGTCTGGCCCAACGCGTATTATGCGATCAGTTAACCAACTTAACTTACGTATCACATGGCAATGAACTATTTATGCGGCTGCAGGTTTGGAAGACCCATTTAGGATATCAAGTTTGGTTTTTAGATGCCGACAAAATACATCCAGTCTTCGGGCGCACAACCTTTTATCACTTTCTCCACCAGATTTGTTGAAGTCAACGGCACCGAATGTGGCGGAAGCACAATTTGTAGCCAGATTTGAATTTTTTTACTAAAAAAATCTAGTGGAACAAACCGAGAAGGCCGCTTTCCATTCACCCGGATTCCCGAAATCGCAGGAAAAAGGTGTATGGTGCGAGTATTTTGTGGAAGTGGGTCGAATTCCCACATCAAATGGAAAAATTTGTTAGGCACCAGATGGACATTCACTGGTGCTCCGTCTTGATGAGTATCGTCCGGCTGGCGAGAAAACGAGCTCCTTATACCTGCCGCGCGAAGAACAGAATTTCAGCTGCAAGGTGGGTGGGGATTTTTGTGAAAGGCTGATAATTGTTATCTCAAGCAAAAAAACTAGTTTTCTGAAGCTCAAAACCTGAACCCTATATTTCAGGCGGACCGCGGGAGTCCCATCTTCGAGATGAACGGTTTCCTCGAAATACACGGGCTCTACAGAACAGGTGTCCAAAAAATACTTATGTAAACGAATACCGTATTTTCCAGAAGATCGAGCCACCCGTGTCCAAGAGAGGATTTGCAATACTGTAGAGAACCCGATGTTGATCCGAGTACCATATCCAAAAGTCAGCCATTTTGGTTCACAGGATTTTATCTATTGTAGGCTTGGATCCGATGGAAGAGCGGTGATGCTCAAGTTTCGAAAAGTGGCGAGGAAAAACGGGTAAATCGGGAGAGTCTAAAAAATCAATATAATTGTGTAAGCACGGATTCGCTGTCACAGCCTGGTCGGAATGTGGAGGTCGTATTGTAGTCGGCGAAAAGATGAAAACACTGAATATCATGGATTTGGAGGAAGACTACTGCAACTTGACTTTTGTGCCAAGTAAAGTCCACTGGAGTAATTTTACTTGAGACTTCAGATTGGGAGGCGGCTACTCGGGGCGTTTTTGTCGAAATTGAAGATCTATTTGTCCGCATCGGTCCCAATTCGAACAATATGGTAACCATGCATCCAAATAAAATTGGTTCGAATTCAGAAACCTGATGAGAACTTTGAAACGGGATCGATCCAAGTTCAAGTGGATGGTGGTGACTGGTGGGCCGGTGTTTATGCTTTATACTGATTGTTACTAGGGATTTGCACAGATTGGATACACGCTACGTCGGGGCTGCTGGGAAAGAAATGAAGTTGGACTACCGTGGCAACGGAGAAGTCAGTTTATCAGGCTGTCGTTTTTCCCTTTGGAAAAATGGAACGCTATCACGCAGTTTTTGCGCTATTCGATCAATAGTGTGCGCATTTGACAACGGATTCTTGATCAGCGCAAAAATCTACGTCCAATAGTGTTTTTTTTCAGTTTTTTTAAGCGATAAAAGAGTTCAGGTATTTCCCTAGTTAAGCGAGGGTCGAGAGTTCAAGTTTTTGGTTTAATCAGAAGCAGAATTCTAATTCGTTTTTATCCTTCCTAAACGTTCACAAGGATCTTTTTAACTACATGGTTAACGAATCGAATTAAAATGAATTAAAGGAAATCAGGTGCACCTTAAACTATCCACAATTCTTCAGATAAAAGTCAACATCGAAAGGGCACGCGGCATATTCCGTGAACGAATCCATCTGAACTATGTGGCCGGAGGAACAGGCAAGATACATTCGATTACGCCATCAAATAAAAATTTAGCATGTGGAGGCATTGTGCGACGACCGAGCGGCTTTATTCTACTACCAAACATCCGGGCCTCCGAATTCAACTGCGAGTGGGAGATTCAGAATTTCCCGGGTGGAAAGACACAGTTGAAACTTTGGTAAGGGTAAACATTTTGGCTTCAGTTGTTGGTCAGGGAATTGACTCTACCTCCATCTGATGAATGTGCCGCATCATATCTGGAGATCAGGCGTGGAAATTCTACGGGCGAGCTTCAAGGGCGGTATTGCTCTAGGGATACACCTCTCACCTTGAAGGTATACCGTTAAGACCTTGTAAAGTGTATAGACACCGTATTTCATCTAAGCCTCAGCCCTAGGCTTGGATGAAATGTATTAGAGAAAACAACAAGTGTTTTAAGGGCGAAAGCTTCTGGGTAAAATTACGTTACGAATTTGTCGCCGGCGATGAATACATGAATACGGCAATCGACCAGACGAAAAACAAGCTGAAACTCGAGTTCAATCGTCTTCCTTCTTGTAAGCACACTAGGACAATTTTATCAACTAATTGTTCTAGATCTTATGGGCCCTACAACCTCCCAGGACATTGAATATTACAATGACCCACAGATCAGGTTTAATCCATTTATTGAAAGAATTCAATTTTTAGCGACGACTTGGGCACGAGATGGTGGAATGTCAAAGCAAAGCCTGATCAAGGCTTCATAATCCATTTCGAGCGACTCTCCATTCCAGCTGAAAATCCGATTGATGGATTGTTTGTAAGAAAGGATGAACAAATTATTAATGTCTGTTAAAATATTTAGATATCCGAGGTTGATGATCTGGGCATGAGAATCGAGGGCCCTCAATTGAGATTTGCGGGATGGGCACGCCCTGTCGGTATTTAAAGAAACTGCAAGATTTTAAAATAATTTAGATACATATATCGATTATTCTTCAATGATGATAACCTTTACCGCGCCGCTTCGTGCTGGTTTTCGGTTACGGTATTTCCATGTACTGTGCTTTTGACCGAAGTTCTAGCTGGACCCCTGTGCCCAAGAGAGGTGCCAATTGGACGGAGCCTACGAATACAACGGCAATTCCGGGAATGCTTGGTATTTACAATATCACCTATATAAATAACCTTCTTAAGATTTCAATTGTGGTGGACCGAAAATAATGGAAGAAACCACAGGATATTTGACCAGTCCCGGATATCCAGGCGCGTACAGCGAAAGATTACGCTGTAAATGGACTTTCCAAAAGCCGCTATTTTACGGGATGAAAATGACGGTTTGTAACTGTCCGACACCATATTCCCTCTTCCAAAATCATTTCAGATAATGGATATCGACATTGAGACTACGACAGAATGCCGCTACGACTATTTGGCTATCACTGTACCAAGCACTGTGCCCAAACGAACCGGTGATGAGCTGGAGTTTGTTCGAATGCTTTTTTTAAGAGCTTGTTTATAGGGCGATACCCCAATCCAACAGAATTTGCAAAGCAAGCGAGCGAAACAGAACGCTCAACTTTATGTATTATCCGGTTAGTTTTATTGCGGAAAATTGAACCAAAAAGATTAGATGATGAATGTCTACTTCTCCTCTGATGAAAGCCGTGGCGGCCGGGGTTTCAAATTGGCATACCAGCTCAGTGAGTGATTTAACGTGCTTTGAATTTATCCTTGCAGCCTGTTCTTCCTACGACTTTATCAAGAGCAGCTTCGGTGTTTTCGATCGAGTGATTACGTCATGGGGTTACCCTAATCCGATCCCGGATAGCGTAAGAATTGCACTGTATAGAAAATTAGACCCGTGGTTTGCCTAGGTATGCGCAAAGAACATTGTTCTTGCTACGAATCGCCGGCTGAAAGTTGAGATTTTGGACCTGGATCTACGAGAAGCCGATGCCCCCGATTCCGATGGCCGGCGGTGCATTGACGGACTGATGATTGTACGTTTTAGCAGCTAATTTTTCTTTAATGCCGATTGCGCTTCCTAAATCCGAATTTAGAGTCATCGAGCAATCAGCACCATGCCGGATGTTGTACGAAAAACGGAAATATGTGGAACTGTAGAAAAGGTGGAATTTTGGAAAAATTACAGTCGATTATACATAGCTATTCAGCTGGCGAATCGCACGATAATTCTACCGATCGGCCGCGCCTATTTCCTTCTCCGACCCGGAAAAACAGGACCGAGAGGACGGGTATGTAATTAAGCATAAAGCTGTGTATTTCTAGGGCTTCAAAATCCGGGTCTCTGAGTACGACGAGACATGCACAAACGACGAGCTTCGGCTTGACGAAGCGAACCCCTCCAGAATACTGGAAAGCCCGTTATTCCCGCGATGTAGGTCACCAAGGAAATTGAAATATAATTCATAGATTCGCCACACTCACTTGATTGCCAATGGGTAATCGTAGCGCCAAATGGGCGACGTGTCCAGTTTACGCTCGATCCGAATCATTTCGATCTCATCACTTCAAATGAAACGTTCGTTAGATATCTTTTTTTTTGTTAGAGGATAGAAGAACGATGGGCCATCCATCGATATCTTTTAGATGCAATGAAGACTTTATCGAATTTTTCGATGGGCCCACGGTATTCGCCAAGCGCATTGGGCGCTTTTGCGGAACACGCCCGCCGAGCACAATCTACAGCTCCGGGTAGGTAAAAATGAATGAACTGCATTTTCACTAGTTTACTGTGCACCAAATCCCAATTTTCAGAAATTCATTGCTCGTCAGATATCGCACAGATTCGTACCAATCCAGTTTGGGCTGGAATGCAACGTACGAGATTGGTAAGTAAAGCCGCTGGAAAATGGACAATAAAATTCTATGCTTTTAGCAACGTGCGGTGGCTCGATAGTGTTGAGAGAAGGCGAAAAATACAGTCTGACGTCTCCGAATTATCCTGATCAATATCCGCTGAAAGCCGATTGCCGCTGGACGGTCCGGGCTCCAAATACACACTTTGTCGAAACATCGTAAGTCCAAAATCACGCACTTGTATGGTTTCTTTCAGCCTGGAACATATTTGGGTGTCATGGAATAAGAACTGCTCTTCTGACTATTTGGCCATACGCGATGGAAACGCAACGGGTGAGATTTAATAGGCATTTGAAGCTATAATTTTTGAACTGTTCCGATTTAGATCCCGATTTGATGCCACCTGTCTGCACCGGCATTGCCCTCAGCGACTCCAAAAAGCGCTCCTCAACACCAATGGTTACGGTAGTTTATGCATAGAATAGCTGGTTAAAAACGAAGCCTCAGGTCGATTTCCACGCAAACAACACCCAATCGAGGGGCACTCGAATGTATTGCACATCCAAGAAATGCGGTTTTGAGCTTGCATTGAGTGTCAGCAACATTTGTAAGGATGAGTTATTGTTATGACAATTGTTTCAGCTTGTGGCGGAACGATCAACGACGAGTCTGGGTTTATTACGGCCCCTGGATATCCGGGTCAATTACTACCGCACGTCACGTATGATTTTGAAAAAGATGAATTGAGCTTTTTACAGGTGTGAGTGGTTATTCGATGCGGGAATTCGATTTGGATATGTTCTGGATTTTGAATTTTTGGATGAGGCGGTATTGTTTGGGCAACGGGAAAGTGAATTCGATTTCTAGAACTGGAATACCGACACGTATATGATGCCAGAGGTCGGGAAATGCTACTCGCACATACAGGTATGCAACGAGATAGAGAGAGAGAGAGAGAGAGAGAGTGAGAGACAGCGGGTGATAGAGAGAAAGCGAGAGAGACGGTTAAGGCACTTTTATACCTACTTTGACATTTATACAATTAATAAAGATCCACGACGGTCTGCCAGAACATCGACTGACAAATTACCTAAGCGATCGATACTTCTGCACAAACCGTACCCAATTCGTTTCAACTGCCGATCTCATTTCACTAAAATACAGGTAATTTTCAGCTTTTGTCAACGCGGAAATCTAATTTTGTTAGTGACACATTGGTCCGGGATGCCTCGAGATATGACGAGACCATACAGCTCAACGAACAATATCGGCCCTTCCGTATTAAATATACGAAAGTGGGTTGAAACGAATGAGAAACTTCATCGTTTCTTAGGTACCCGAAAAAATGTTACACGAGGATGCTTGCATGCTGGAGCTCCGCCGAAATTCGACAATCTATATCAGCAGCCGACTAGAGACGACCACGAACCCAGCGCTGCGTCTCAGAGCCGGTAGGAGGAAGGCCCGTTGTTAATATTAAAATTTTTAGGGTATTGCCACTTGGTGATTCGCCGCCCAAAGAAGAAGCCCGCTGTGCAGACAATTTCGGTAGAGATCACCGATTATCGATCGACGAGTCCGGTTCATTATGCTTATTGCAATGACTACACCAATTTTATTGAATTCTTGAGTGGGATTTCCTTAGTAAACTCGGCTAGTCTGCTACGTTTAGCTCCCCAAAACGACCCTTGGCCGGTGAATGAACGGCTTTGTAACGCGACGTTCCGTTTGCTTGGAAATGAGACCTACGTGGCGGTAATTTGCAAAATTATTATAAATGATACGCAATTTTAGACGTTCTTAAACCCAGAGATCAACGTCCACATCTGGGTTCACAAGAATTTGGACGATCCGTTGAAGCACTATTTTACCCGTTTCAATATGACGGTGTCATTCCAAGGTATTCAAATTTTTCAGTAGAGTAGCATTTAAGAGTCTGATTTATAGAGCTATGTAAATATTTTTTTTAGAATGCGGTGGTTTCATCCGCGAGGGGCAACTCGACGAAGAGTACACCCTGAGCTCGCCCAACTATCCGAATAATTACTTGCCAAATTCGCATTGCATGTGGATTTTTGAGGCGCCAGAAGGGCAAGCTGTTAAGGTATGTACTGCGTTTTGATTAAAGGTGGTCGTAGTGAGAACCATTTATTCTCAGACTGTACACAGATCGTTGTTTGTGGCGGGAAGAAAGCACGAGGAGGCGATTGGAAGGGTGCCAATATTACTGGTCGGGTCCCGAGACGGCCTTGGGTTGTTGTTGCGGGAAACCGGCCTCGCGCTTCACCCATCCACCGTATCCGTATCCACCGTAGCCGTAGCCGGCATACGGGTATCCGTAGCTGCCGTAGTATCCACCATAGTATGATGGGTAGCCGCCGTACTAAAAAGGCGTTTAAGGTATTTAAAATATAGGTTTAAGCTAAGTGATGGATGCATAGATATTCAAAAAACTTACATATCCACCGTACCACTGAGCCTCAGCCGAAAGGGCGAAAAGGCAGAGAAGAGCGACAAGGCAGACACTAAATATAATTTTAAGTAATATATAGGAAATTAAATTTAATGACAGTGTAGAGACTATTAAAAAACCCACACTTTGACGGAGGAGTTCATTGTTGGTGGGTGGACTGTTGAGTAAAGTTGCTTGAAAACCTCGAGACTTATATACCCTCCCCAGATTGACATTTCATTGTTAGCTATCCCTCCCCAGTGCCGTGCGTTCTATTTGGTGCCCACTAGGGCCCAACAGTTTTTTTTTGTCGGAATCGTCTGTTGTCTCGGTGAGAACCTGGGACCTCCGTGGACTGTTGGGTGCCAACAAAGCCTAGCGAGATGGGGGTGGGCTAGGTTGTTTGAGGAAAATCTCTGATTCCGTGCACGTTTCTCAACCCTAGAATGTGCCGAATTTTGTGTGGAAAGTACGGGTTTGCATTTGATTCATTAAAAACAGCGAAAGGTGTGAAGGTTTGGAAATCTTGATCTTCACGATTTTTCTGGGAATCCAGCGGATCGTTTTCTGCCGTAGCCGAGGCCGAGAAGGCTCGGGTAGTAGCCACCGTACACTGGGTAGCCGTAGCCGTACTAAAATGCAGGTTTTAAAGAATGTCCGTGACCATTTTTTTAGATTTAAATAAATATTTATAGCGGATACGCATAGTTCGTTAATTTTTTAAAGAATACTGTAACATATTTTTAGAATTAACTTAGGATAATTATTAGCTGGTACGCAAATTCCTTTTGATTTTAAGATACGCTTTTTAGAATTAAGGGAAGTATTTTATAGCTGTTGCGCAAGTATCGTCAATTTTTGAGGGTTATATGCAAATTTTACAACGCTTTTATGAGCACTACCATTTAAAAAAAAATTAATACTTTTTGTAATCAACAGTTAAATTTGAAACCTCAACTTACCCCGTAATATTGCGATGTAATATCTTGCACAAAGAATAAAAGCGCAATCAACAGAATCAGGCTAAACTTTTCACTAGAATATTCTTAGAAACCGCCCTTACAATTTGACTTCCATAGGAACTGCAGAGAAATGAGTGTGAGTACGTGTAAATGCGTTGTGTTGCCCCCTTTCCTGCATAACCAACCGAATTTATAGTGATGCCCTAATAGGGCCCCGGGAAAGGGAGAAGAACCGGATTTGAGGGAATTCATTGTCGAGGAGTGTTTTCCACAAAAGACCACCCCCCCGCCCCAGCAAATCCTCGACCTGCAAGGGCAGCTGACCTACAAAAGGAAGAAAATAAGGTTTTAGTTGCTCTATTTTAGATGGGATCTGAGTGACGATTTGCATATAGTTTTTGTGTCCTTGTCTTTTATGCCAGAGATAAAAAATAAGGCATCTCAATACTGGTAGGGAATTTTTGTATTACCGACTTTTAGGGGCAAAAGTATTTTGTGATCTTTTAGCGTTCTTCTCGCTGACTACACAATACACCTTTGGTCTATCATGTAAGGTGACATCTTGTGATGACGGGGGTGACGACCGGAAACAGTACTTTCGGCGGGAAGAATTTGGCGAATAAGGGTGATTTTGTAGGGTTGTAAGGTGGAGTGTATGGCTTTGAAATTCGCAGTGGGTTTTGAGAATTTCTTGAGGCTCGGGGTGAAGAATCGGAAGTTTTTTTAAGCTTAATCTTTTTGATTTTGTAATTTTCCACCTGCAGTAACACTAAAAATAGAATTGTTTTTTAAATTTTTTTGGAATGGTATGCATTTTCAAGGTTTTGCACGGCTTTCGCGAAATATGACCGAATCTTTTTATTATAGAAACTCTGCAGATCATCATGAAATAAGGGGCGAAGAAGGGAGGACAGTGTGTACATCGCTGAGGCTTGGGAAATGGGTCCACATAGATTGGTGTTTAGGTCGAGTTCGTGGGGTCGTTATTGCTGCCCGTTTTGCTGTTGTTGTTGGGGGGCAAAGCCGGCTTCGCGTTTGCCGTAGATACCGTAGTATCCGCCGTAGTAGGGGTAGCCGTATCCGTATCCGTAGCCATATCCACCGTATCCGTAGTAGGGATATCCGTAGCTGCCGTACTAAAAAGTGGGAATAAATCATCAGTTTTATCGATTTTATCCATACTTTCACATTAAACCTAACTTACATAGTATTGGGCCTCAGTGCAGACGGCCAGGATGGCGAGAAGAGCGACCAGGCAGACACTAAAAATGTTTAAATATTATTTTTATAGTAATATTCAGAAACTAAGAAGCCAAAGCGCTTAAACGGTATTGAAAACCTACAGCTTGTTCATGGTTGATGCAGAGAATGGCAGTTCGATGTTCCACCCGGCAGCTTGGCCCCTATTTAACGGGTTCGATGTTTGTCGACCTACTGGACCGCCCAGAAGGATTTCGACTCTTTGGCACCGATTTTTCTGACCCTTCTGGGAGAGGAGGAGGGGGCTCAATTCGCTCTCTCAGCCATTTTTTCGGAATGAGTGTGAAAGATGGCAAATAGAAGAAGACGGGCTTTGCACCCGGCAGGGGTCACAGCCCTTTGGGTCAGCCATTAGAAGCACTGTATTTTTGAAGGGTGTCTGAATAGTGCCAGTGAGCATTTGTTAATGCAGATACCATGAATATACACGCCATAAGCGTGATTGCATAAAACACAGCGGTTTTTGCTTGCGAATCGCTTCGAAATTTACAAAACCGAAAAAATTACCATACTATAAAATCCACTTAATAGAATACATACTTTTCCTAGATTAAATTCGTGGATATGGACATCGAATACGACGTCACGTGTAACCACGATGAGCTGAAGCTGCTCGAAGGAGCCGGAGATCAAGCTCAAGTCGTCCACCGGTCCGTGAAGCATTTGAAAATCATTAAATGTGTATATCGTATCGTATACTCACTTAAATTCCACTTTTCAGTTATTGCATCCCAGCCGAAAAGACAGCACTAATCGGCCCAAATTCCGAACGGTGGGTTTAATAGCAAAATCATGATTGAAGGTATAAACTCCAGGTTCAATACGCAAATCTCGAAATCGCGACATTTCACGTTGATCTGGAGGACGGATGCGGACGTCGAGCAGAAGGGCTGGAAGCTCGAATATGAATTTGTTAACCCGAATTCTGGTGAGGGCTGCAAAGGCGGACGTACCCTAAATTCTCTAAAATTTCAAAAATCTCGAAATTCTTTGGTCATCGACCGGTCACTTTGTTTTTGTCTCGATTCAGCTTTTTCTGCGGAGGGGCAGCCGAATCTTTTGCAGCGGCGGGTGTCATGGAAGTCAGAGTTCGATGGCAAACAATCTCCCCAAAGGCTAATGTGCTCTAAATCGCGATCTCGGGCCATCATTTGATCGGAATCCGGGCAGGGAGATGGGAGTAAACAGTCCGAAAGTGGCACCTTCCAATGACCCTTGGTCATCGTATTCGGTTGACAGTTTCTCGAAGCGTCTGGGATTGGGCGATTCTAAAAATAGAGGAAATTTTGATTATTTGAAAAATTTAGACCTGTGAAAGCGGTTTGAAAATAACGATTTATCGTAATTAGCTTTGGTAAATCAGCAAACCAACTATTAGACTTTTTATTTTGTATTTAAGGTGGCGGGCTTGTTTGATATGGTTTTTTTCATGCATATTGCCTGCCGCGACACATCGCTGCCTATCGTCGACCTCATAGAATCCATATCCAAAAGCCCGCCATCATGCCTTACCCGTCTCTTTAACCCAAAATTCCTAAGTGTCAATAGGAGCCCGTAGCGACGTGCGTACTCCCCCCATTCCGGTCATTGGTCCACTAACAACTACGGAACCACGCTCTTTGCACGGAAATGGGCCTCCCCTTCCCCTACTTTGAACATTTGCCATTCGAATTCCAACACTCGCCCCTAGGAGGGCTCTGTACACAAACATTCAGCACAACTGTTGTATGTAGGCACCCGGGTGAAGAAGTGAAAACTCTGAAAAATGCCCTGTCATTCAACAAGCAAATTCTCGGCGGGGCTCTGAAAAGGGAGCAGTGTGTTTGTTTGAAGTCCGCAATTTTTTTGACTCGCGATACATTCACCGCTATTGGGGTATGGAGAAACGGAAGTCGTAAACAAGTCTTCAGAACTTAAAAAAATAGCTTCGAAGGTTACAATTAAATTTTAGAATGCGGCTTCATCTCAAACGCGATGCATGGTGTAATTTACACACCGAATTACCCCGACACCTATGGTAATTGTTTGGGATAGGTGGAAGAGTGTTATTTAGACAATGACTTGGGCTGTATTTGGGACATCAGTGTTCCGCAGGGATACCATATACAGTTGGATTTCGAGACGTTTGATGTGCAGTCGAGTCAGGATTGTCAGGCCGACTTTCTTCAGGTATGGGTTTCCATGGTAATAAGGATTGGTAAAAAAAGGGTGAATCGAGAGATGGATCAGAACGGGTTTTATGCAAATCAAATATATTCTCAAGTTAGAAGATTGGTTGCCAAACACTGAAATTTTTGCTCGCGAGACCTTAAAATGCGCATAGTTCCTCGAACGCGATTTGCCAGAAAGGTTCGGGGTTCATAGGGAAGCTTTAAAAGGCCATCCGCGAGTCACACGGTCCCCAATATGGCTTGTCACAGTTTTTTTAGGCCCCGTTTTTTCGATGTCATGTGAAAGAGCATGGTCGAATTAGTAGGGCTGCATAGTTTTGAATGTTTCAAAGTTGATTTTTGGTGTTTAAATGGCCGTTAAAGTTGACTACTTCCAAAAACTATCTCGAAAACTACTTTACCAAATTTGCTGATAATTTGTGACAATACCTAATCTGGAGCGGTGATCATTTTTCTAATACATTTCCAAGCATGAAAATGGCCGGAACAGCGGAATCTCGCGTACTCAAATGAGTTTTTCAAGAATTACTATTTAATAGGAAGTCGTCGCCACTCTAGAAATATACTTAAAAGATGCGCAATTAAATTTTACATCGAATGATGTATTTTTCAACTTGGCGACAGATTCCTATTAAATCGAAAAGAGGGCATTTCTAAAATGAGCAAAAACAGCTCAAAAACATAAATAGCTTTGTTTTTTCGCAACCGGAGGCATGCAATCGGATATTGATGCGAAGTCGAGCCTGATACAAAAAAGAGCAAAACGAAAGATCATTTCTACGCGAAATTGCGCGGGGGATCGAACCCGCGATGGTCCGCCTGGGGGGCACTGGGGACAGCCACTAGTGGGCGCCGCCACCTCCCCAGGCGAACGACCCGAGTTCAATCCCAGCCCCCTTTTAGAAATCGAATTTCTTTTTGCTCTTTTTTGCAATAGCTTTATTTTGGTCTTTAGATACGAAACATTCTCTTTCCGTTCAGAAATACACAAATTTTTCCTTTTTAGTGCCTTTGAAAGTCGTTTTTCGATTTAATAGGAATCTGTCGCCAAGTTGAAAAACACATCATTCGATGTAGAATTTAATTGCGCATCTTTTAAGTATATTTCTAGAGTGGCGACGACTTCCTATTAAATAGCAATTCTTGAAAAACTCATTTGAGTACGCAAGATTCCGATGTTCCGGTCATTTTCATGCTTTGAAATGTATTAGAAAAATGATCACCGCCCCATATTAGGTATTGTCACAAATTATCAGCAAATTTGGTCAAGTAGTTTTCGAGATAGTATTTGGAGGTAGTCAACTTTAACGGCCATTTAAACACCAAAAATCAACTTTTTAAACATTCAAAACTATGCAGTCCTACTAATTCGACCATGTTCTATCAGATGGCATTAAAAAACGGGGTCGAAAAAAAACTGTGACAAGCCTAGTTCGGCTCTCCGGCAAACGGCCTTTTAAGCGCAATAAAACGACCAGATTTTACGGTGGATTATTGATTACGGGAAGCTCCGGTGTAAATTAAGGAAAACCCCCCTCTATTTTTGATTCTGACGTTTAAGTGTGCGGATGTAAAAAATATCGATATATTTAAAATTTACATTCCAAAAACCCTCATAACCGCAAATTGCTCTCAAAAATTCTCCAGCGGAAACCCTCAAACAATAGAAAATCTCAGCCCCTTTTTGTTTCCAAGCGCTCTACACCCCAAATCCCAAGAAACCTTTTTCTGGGAGGATAAGTGCTAGCTGTGGATACCCAACCCTAAAATTCGGGTTAGTGTTCGCTGTTTTATTTATTTAGAGCGTTAGGGGGTGGGTGAGGGCAGGGGAAGTCCCGTGTTCTTCAGCGTCTTTGGTCAACAATCGTGGCAGTAAGGCATCGAGGGAGTGAAGGGGTCCCATGATTTTGTGCAAAACACGGTTATCTCAATCTTGCAGCTAGCAGTTGCCAATGCCAGTGTCGGAGGTTCTCTAATCCGCAAGGAACTGTGCGGTTAGAAATTGATTACTAAGAGATATTTTCCGGGGAATTCACCGAATAACTGACAAAATGCTTACAAGGAGACGTTTTTTTGGAGGGCCCGGAGTTTTGGGGCGGAACCAAGCCTATCTTGTGCAGAATTTTTTTGCTGATCAAAAGGCAGTTTGTAGAAACTGCAAAACGGCCAGAATAAAACAATATGACGCTTTGAAATACGCCAAAAAGCGAGTAATGGGCTAAGTCGGACCCCCTATAAAAATTCGCAAAAAAATGTTTTATAAAAACTAATTAGCACGACAAACCCAAAAATTTGCTGAAAAGGTGGATTTTGACCACATGCCTTTGAGCAATTTGGGGGCATTTTTAAGATTTTTGTGAGACACAGCACATTCAAAAAAGCGTGGCTTACCAAAGCAAAATCTACTAATTGGCGTGCTCAAAACATTCTCTAAAATTTTTCACAGAGATCCAAGGTAGGCCATTTTTGGCTTTGCAATTTAACATTTCATAACTATTTATTTCGTTGTAATCAGCAAAAAATTCTGCACAAATTAGTCTTCGTGCTCACCAAAAACGGCTCCTTTTTAGAACCACAAAATCTCCATTTTATAGAATTTTAAATACCCAGGATTAAGCTCCTGATCCATGCATCCGAAATCACTTTACAGGTCTACGAAGAACACCAAGGCCAAGAATGGGCCCCTCAAGGCGACTACTACTTCCTGTTCAACAATGAAGAAGCGGGCAAAGCAATGTGTGGCATCGATATTCCAAAGCCTTATGAATCTGAAAGCAACAGGATACGGTATGTGGTTTCTTATCAGACAAAAATCCGTTTATTTACACGTTTTACTCCGGAAATTCCAAAAAGCACAAAAAGACCCAGGATAATAGCGGTTTGCAAAAGTGTATCTTTGCTTGAAAGCCTGAGCGGGGACCCGGGTGAGGAGAGAGGGAGAGAGAGAGAGAGAGAGAGAGAGAGAGAGAGAGAGGCAGACAAGATCAAATTAAGACTTGGCGCTCAGAGCAAGAGGAACATCAGAAAAATAGATATCTGGAGAGTGGGGGATATAAAGTTAATTAGTTACTGCAGTCGTATCTATATAAATAGCGTTGGGGTAGTGGTAAACTGTACAGAAATGTACAATTAGTCGTTGGGCAGCGTCGAGATGTGAATTCTCTAGCAGACCGGGGCTGGGCACAGCGGGTTCGGCATGGTCGGCTGGGGCATTGGCTGTAATTTCTAATTACAAATAGACTGTTTATGGATCAGAATAGCAAAAAATAAGTGTTTAATAGGGATTCTGCGGTATTTGTATAAAAACGTACCGTATTCTCGACGCTGGTCTTAGTCTTGGCCATTTCGAGGGCCTTCTTCTGGGGCTGGTTGGATGGGGTGCCATCCCTGAACGACTTCTGGCGAACGACGGCGGCTCGGATTTCCGGGCTGAACCTGAAATCAAAGATGGGTTTTTGAAAAACTCCAGAGCAAGCAATAGGTCCTCAAAAACCATTGTAAAATCTTACCATCTACCGTAACTGCGGGCACCGGTGGCACATTGCAAAGCGAGCTTCATGTTCTACAATTTGAATTTGAATTCGTGAAAGTACGAAGTGTAGAGATACAAAGAAGAAAGCATGATTTTAAGTGCCCAAAGAAGCTTGGGTAATCGGAGCCAAATTCGTATAGTGCGATCGAGGAAAAGGAGGGGTAGTGCTGTAGCTCTCTCTTTCTGTCTGTCTGCAAAAGCAATGAAAGCCGAGATAAAGTGAGGCGTCAGTGTTCCGGGCATGGTCGGTAAGAAGTCGGACAAAACAAGAACTGTGCTGATAGTAGTAGCAGGCCAGAGGTGCCTGGTGAAATATGTTTGGAACAGGTGGGTAGGTAAAGGGTTGAAAACGTAGGCAGCTGTAATGGGATGGCATTTTTCTTATATAAGTGTGAATTATGTGCCATATAAAGGCTCACGAGATATGTGTTTGTATATTGTAGCCTTTCGAAACACTAAGGTTAAAAGGTCCATTAATAGACATGGAATTCAATTTGGAAACACTACCTTTTTCATTAACGCGTAAGCTTTGGGCTATTTACATGCCTAATGAGACCGGTACCTTAAAGGTTTCAAACAATAGATCCAGTTATCTATCGATTGAAAACAACCAGAAAAATCCCGATCCCATTATAGCCAATGTCCAAAATTAGCCGCTCGTATCCCGTCAACCCCCGGCCAGAAAATGATATGACAATAGCCGTGCCCGTGTGCCACTCTCTAAAAATCGGCCGCCCGCCCAAATGGGCCGGTTCCATCGCTTTTTATAGCCATTCCCATCACGTGTCTTCCATTACCACGCATCTTTAAAAGTGATAATAACCGGCTCGGGGGTGTCACTGGGAGGTGTTTTAGAAAAGAGATCATGACGATAGTTTAATGAAGCAAAACTAACGCTAGAAAATCGTAAAAATAGTAGAAATAATCAACTAAGGACTAATAAAGTTGGCCTGATTATTACGAAAGCTACAATTTTTTTTCGATTATGTTTCTTTAAAGAATTCATAAGTATAGTGCCAAAAAATCATAGAAGATCTATAGATGATTGAAAAAATAACCATCCCATTTGCCTGAGCGCGTAAACAGCCAAATGGAATAGCCATCGGAATTAAATGGAGGCGTTTCCGTTTCTGAGGAGGAGGGACCGACCAGCTGAGCGGGCTTGTTGTGGCCGTTGGGAGGTGTGCCTCGGAACAGGGCAACAAAAGTCCCATAGCCCTTACTTTTCCTTGTCTAAAGAAATACTGAAACACGAGTAGGCTTTCGAAAACTATATTGTGGTAAAGGCAAGGATAGAACTCCATCAGGCCCGGGAGTGCAAAAATAGATACTTCAGACTGGCTCACGAAAATCGTAAAATACAAGGATTTCTTCATAATTTGTATTTTGGTAAATAAAAAAAAGCTTAAGGTTTTTAATCCGTAAAGACATCATAATCTATATTTGTTGAGCGATAGTGGCTTGCCGTTTTCGAAAACATTCCCTTTACCCCCGACCGGAAGCGCAAAAACAGAAGTCGAATTTTCTAGAAGCAAAATGACCTCACCCAAAACCTCACATCCTTATCACACACCTACTGAGCACTCGATTCCGTAGGAAAGGGGCACCCTATAGGGATTCCCGTGGATCATTGAGCCATCTTTGAAAAACAGACACGTGGCTGGGAGTGTCGTTTTTGGATTGATAACTGGAGCCATTTTCTCGGGAAAAATGCATTGGGACGCGGCTGGTGGTCTCCGGGATCAAAGTACGAGCTTTCAGACAAGGTCGCGGTGGAATTTGAAGTGTTATTTTGAGGTTGGGACGGTCGCTAGAGGCATAAAAATAGGCTATTTTTGAAAGTTGCAGTACTACCAAGTCATTTTTTCTGAAAACACTTTTTTGGCCTTCTAACGTTCTTAAGCGATAAATTTTGCGAACACCATGCCGATAAGTTTCAAATCAGTTCAGTGATTTCTAAAAAATTGCCAATAATCACAAAATTAGTCTTAGAAATTCCGAAAACAAATTAAGATATACCACCTCAAAGCCGTCTTTCGAAACCATTCGAATCCCATCTCTTATCACTCAAATTTGCAATAAAAACTATTTGTCGGACGAATGGAGAAGGGCTAGAGGCGATATGTGGGTGGAACATTCGGGAAGGGGCATCTGTATGTATCTATCTCGACCCTCTCCACATTTCCCATACTCACTCTCTCTCGCCAGCTCCAGGAGGGGGTTGTTTTGGTGCATTGCTGGGTGGTTGGATGGTGGTGGTGGGTTTCTCTCACTCTCTCTCACTCTCTCTCTCTCTCTCTCTCTCCTCCAATCGACAGAAATAGCCCTTCCACCCTCACCCAGCCATGTGTTGACCCCCAGCTTTTTGCAGCGCGCACAATAAAAAACGATTTGGCAATCGCCCAAATCAATGTTGGGGAATGATAGGAGAGAGAAATAAACGGTAACGGATTGCCGGCCATTTTATAGGCGACCGGATTGTCGACATTGTGCATTAAAATGGGGGGCTAAAGGGGGGTATTTATGTGTTTTCCGGGGTACGTCGCCGGCATAAAAACTGCAGCGGAAATTGCAGAAAAAGGGGGGAGGGATAAATTGACGAGGGATGAGTGATCATAAACTTTGTGGTGGCACCAATTCGGTTGAGATGGCGTTGACAGGTCGGCGGTCTTTCGTTACATGGTAATGGGATTAGAAAGCAAAGTGAACCGAGAAAAAATAGGCACGAATATGTATGCATTAACAGACTATTGTTATATTAATATTAATAAACTACCGTTTTATGGTACTAGACATTAATAGACTAGTTTATCCATTAGATAAAAAGGCAGAAAATTGCAAGAAACTCACTCAAATCAGGCCGGAAACGATAAACTTCCTATGTTTTAAATTTTTTATCGATCTGTCCGCCTAGTTTTTTCCCCAATTACAGACCAAATAAGCATCCTCTAAAGTCAAAATATAACACAAAACCCTCACAGCAAACTATGAAGCCAGGAAAACGCGCCAAAACAACTTCCAACCCTACACCAAAGCAGAAATCCAGATTATTTTAAGCCAAAACTACAGCTGGTCATCTCACACACCGGCTGTAACACAAATTGAACCCTGCCCTGCTGAACCTGATTTATAGCTGGCAGTTTTTTGGGAGGGGGGGGGGGAAGAGCTGAGCCCCGCGCTCATCGAGGGGGGTCACATGCCCATTTCAGCCGTTCCCTTCAGCCCCCCTCGGTTGGTTGCTGTTTTCTTCCACATGGAATGCACGTGGCCGTTTTCTCTGGCGCATCTTCGAAGCGGGTGCTTCTCCTCTATGCTGTCTCTAGACTCTCTGAAAGATGGCTAGACTCTCGCTCAAAAATGCTCGCACTTTGTGTGGAGCATTGGACTGTTCGGCTGGTTTCTGGCAGAGGGAAGAGGACATGATTTTGCTCGATATCTGTGACGGACCGAAAAATTCGGGGGGTAGCGCGTGTCAACCTGAGGCTGGGGGGAAAAAGCTAGCAATTGTGATGGTAAGCGGTGGGAAAGCGGTGATGATAAGCTGGAAGGGAGGGAAATGACAAGGGTTTTATTGGAAGGGGGCAAAGAATGAAAATAGCAGGGAAAATACTACTGTACTACGTGAATTTGGAAGCTTAAAATAAAACACATTTAGGAACTAAAATTTTATTGGAAGGGCTAGGAAGTGAAAAAAATAAGGCGCAAACTGGTGAGATTCAATGAAATTAAAATCGTAAAACACAAAGTCCTTTGGAAAAACACAAAATGGGCAAAAAATAACCACAAGGTGTAAAATGTCAAATTAAATTAAATTGAAACCCTCGAATCTAGAAAAATATAAATAACAGCTAAATTAAGATCAATATTTTCAGCCTCAACTTTACCACCGATGAGAAGATCACCGCCAAGGGATTCAAATTAAAATGGACTGCAAGTGGGTCGAGATACAGTAACCAAGACAAATCGCACGTTTTAGAATGTGGATCTACCTACACCCTCGATCATGGTGTCATCACATCTCCACATTACCCTGACTACTACCCAAATACTGACGTAAGTTTTAATACTCCCTTTAATTCCAAGAAAATGTTTTTATGTATTATTTACCGATAATTATTTTCAGGATGAATGCAGATACGCCATAAATCCAGAAACGCCTGGGGAGAAAGTGATTGTATTGAAAGTTCTCGATCTCGACTTGAGCCCCTTTATGTGTAAGCTCTTTTCTCTTTACATCGGCTTTCTAAAATATAGACGACATGAAACGAAGCCCGTGCGTGACTGATTACGTCGAAATTAGCGATGTGACCCGGGTAGTGAAAACCTACTGTGCATCTCAAAGCGGTGAAGAATTCGAGCCATTGGCTATCAAGGTAATTTTCTAATCTTTAATCAAGATTTAAGCCTGTTTTTATTCACGTAATTTTAGGGTGCTGTCTCGGTCGTCTTCCGCTCCAATCACACTTTCTTGGGGCCTGTAGAGAAAAAGTTGCGCCGTGGCTTCAAGATTTCCTATGCTTTGAATGGTACGGTCATGGTATTGTAATTTTTAATGTTGTTTTGCAGCATGCGGTGAAGAAATCGATTTGACAACCGCTGATAATCGACCACATTGGACACAGGTCAGTCATAAAAATTTTTCATTAATAAATCATTTTTTCGTAATGATAAGTTTTGTTAGGTGACTTCCCCAGCATTCCCGATGGTACACCATGAAAATCTGAATTGCTGGTGGAACATCACTACCTCCGAGAATAGAATTTTGCATGTGAAGTTGGTTTCCCACTGTATTTTTTTTAAACTGTTCACCCATCTTAACACCTACTTTAAACCTTTCAGATGGGACAAATTGGACCTGGAACCAGCGCCAGGGTGTGAGCATGACTTTGTCGAATTGGTTGACGGTAGTAACACAACAAAAACAAAGTCAAGCGGAAGATTCTGTGGATTAATGTACGTTAACAATATATCTTTAATGGAATAATAATTATTTTAGCACACCAACAAAAACGATCCGAACTGAGGGTAATAAGCTATCGGTTCACTTTGTCACCGACCATAATGTGAATCACGGCGGATTTAAGATGACGATCACAGCAACCCTTGGTAAGTTGTATTTTGGGCTTAAGGGTAATGTGGTCAATATCTATTCAAGATATCAATGCACTAATGATGAAAAAATTTAGGTCCATCTGAAGGATGCGGTGGTACGAGGAAAGCTCGAGCAGATTGGCAAAGAATCGAGGCTCCAGTGGATAAAAATGGCACCTATGTAGATGATCTGCAATGTGGATGGTTGATTAAAGTAATTAACATACTTTTCTGTACATTTGCCTATTTTTTTCAGACTGACCCCACTAAAAGAATAGAACTTCGACTTGTTGCTATTGACACCGAGGACCAGGTTGGACAAGTGGCAGATCAAGATCGGCGGTGTAACGATGGATTGATGGTTCTTTTAAATTGTAATTCTAATTTAAAAATTATTTAGATCTATGATGGATATCCTAATAGCAGTCCGGCCCTTGCCGGGGATATTTGCAATGCTACCTTGAAAAAAACGTAAGCAAGGCTGAATTTTTAATGCTTTTTCAGTCCTCTCCCCATCTACTACCATACTTCCGGCCACGCAGCGTATGTTGTGTTTGTTAGCGATTTCGGAGGCACAGGACGTGGATTTACCCTTGAATATCGAACATTTGATGGTAACCACTGGCTTGAAATCTTATTCAGAAAATCTAGTCGAATGTGGCGGCTTCCTGAATGCAACAACATCCGAACAATCGATCGAATTTGACGATCAGGTGTTTGTACAACGCGAAGGGAGAACGATGTTGCGGTCTGACAATTTCAACTTTTTAAACGTTAATTTAGATGCCGTTGGTTAATCACGGCCACGGAAGCGTTCCCAGTGCTCATTAAATTCTCGTAAGCTTCAATCAGCATTTAGACTCCATTTGGTTTCAGGAATTTCCAATTCCCAAGAGGTGCTTGCGATACGAACTTTGTGGATATACGCGATATTGGTTCTGTGTCAAAATGTAATCATCCGGCATGTGCTTCCAAAGACGAAGAGTTGCAGGTATGGCACTTTTAGAGATGCTAACATTCATTTATATAGTCGCAGCATTATTGCGGGACTAACCGGCCACGTACACAATTTATTGGGCTTTCGACCGCGGTTCAGGTATTTTCAGAAGCTATAATAGATCAAAAACAATTAAATTTCTAGATCACTGCCTCGGTTGCGTTGGCAAAAAGTGATGATTTTGACTTCAGATTTGAATATGTCTTACTGCCAAGTAAGTAAACATATTGGCTAACGATTACTGCTGCATACATTTCCGGATTAAGTATTTTCTCAAAATCGCATTTTTCAGATTGCAATCGATCGATTGATGCCCGACAATTCCAATCTGGCCGAATCATCAGTCCTAACTATCCAAACGTTTACGATCAAAACATGACATGCATAACGAATATACAAACACTCGATGACCGCAGACTTTTCGTCGTGTTTAAGTAAGGAAAACACTTCTATAATTCGTTCATACTCCCTCTCTCTCTTTGTCTCTCTCTCTGTTTCTCTCGCCTCCTGCCCTGTTTCCCCCTATCTATGTCAATCCATCTCAAAATAAAAATATAAGAACTTACCAGCGCTGACCCCCGCTACGCGGGGGTTCAGTGCTGGCCTCCTTTCCCCACACAATTTGAATTTTGAGTTTGAATGCAAAATTTGTCTGAATTCCCGGTCGCACGGACGGACGGACATTAGAAATTTATATATAGTACATTAAAGGTCCAATCATCGTAGAACGAGCCAAATAGGTAATTTACCCCCCTGAACCTAATTTATAACATCTATAATACTACCGTATTATACTCATTTACCGATTCACTAATTTCACCCGTACACACAGCATAATTTTACCCTTAAAAATTTCTGTCCATTGCTGTTTTTCAGGCACTTCAACCTGGAAACAGGGCGTCCGGTGGAAGAAATGGCACAAAGGCGATATCGGGACGGCACGAGGTTTGTTGCCGAATCAATTTTTACCAATTACCGATTCATTTAGGCGCTACAACTGCGAATTCGACAACGTTACGGTAACTTTAATACTTTTCAGTCATCTGCATGAATTTTTGTAACCCATTAAATTGCTTGTTTTTCGATTATCGAGCCAGATCGGCCGGAAGGTACTGGTGCGATGTGCGGTTCGATGTTGCCTCCAAGCTACCTCTCCAATGCCAGTATCATATCGGTATTTAACTTTTATTAAATTATAGTTGATTATCTGCTACTTTATATATTAGTATTTGAATTCAGATTCAATTGTTAACTGATGACACGGGAACCATGTCTGGATACGAGGCCTATTATTATTCCGTTTGGATCCACACTCAGGCCGGAATCGGTAGGGATACGCTTGTATTAAAAAAAGCAATAATATTTTAGGAACCGCCTACCAATTTTCGGAAATCTCCGATCCACAAGGAGCAATTACGAATATTGGATATCCAAACGGATACCCGAAACAAGGGGTGCAAAGGTAAGTACTGAACTCCAGTTATTAATGAAATATATGTCTATTTAGTTGGAATCTCTATTTGCCTGCTTATAAAAGCTGCACATTCACCGTGGATCGGATGGGTATTGATGTCGTTAGCCCAAAAAGCGAATGTAAAGGTAACGATCAGAAATTCGTCAAAGTATAGCGAAACCCCATCACTTTAGACGAATACCTGCGAATATTAACAAATGATGATGATATAAAAATGAGCAGTTGTCTGAACGGAACGGTAAAAACAACACTAATTTTCCTTCTTAACTTAAATTGCAGTTGGAATTCCCGTTCTCTTTCGAGGTCGAACCGGCCGCCAGAAATAAAGCGACAGTCGTTTTTCTTTCTGATGACAATCTAACCAACGATGGGTAAATTTTTGAGCAAATTTACTTCTAATGCTACTTTTTAGAGCTGGCTTTTTCTTGACATGGGAATGCTCGAATGACCATATACTTCTCGATTCATACGCTCCGTGAAAATCTCAATGGACGCGTTATTATTTTTGCTTAAATTTTTGCCATTAGCTTTTTATATTGTCGTCAACAAATTTGCTTTCGCTAAAATGCCGGTGCGTCGATTCTCACAAAGCCACCGGGGATTCCGACCTAAAGTGTGATATTGTTAATAAATTTACGGATTTACCGGCTGTTTGTTATTGAAAATGGTTCATCCTCATCCGCCGATTCAAGGAAAATTTCTGGTATTATTAAGGTTCGTATAACATAATCCTAAAAATACAAACTTATGTCAAAGTTTTTTAGGGCCATTAAACAAACCTTTTTCGAGCATTTCAAATCAAACAGGCGTTGTCGGATTGTTCGATGGAATATAGTGAGCGCCCAGGGGGTTACGGTAGCGAATATAAGTAGGGTGTAGGTTCTAAATTCGAATCATTAGGCCGGGAACTATATTGCAAACCGCAAGGACGCGCTGAACGTGTGAATCGAAATGATGGTGTCACGGGTGGAATCCGAAATCAGTTGCCGAGCCACGTGCATAGTATAGCAAATGACGAGGGCAATTAGCACCCGGAAATCCTTGACATTGTGACGCTTTAAAAAAAAATTGGAAACCTAGTATTTCGAAGTACCTGATCATCATCAAATATCAAAATTTCTCTATTCTTCTCCTTTGAATAGAGCGTCATCATCGAGACAAATCCACACAACGCCAAGAAACCCGCCGATTCGAGCATATCCTAGAGAGATCGTATATCAAGAAACCTTGGGTTGGCATTACCTTGGTTTGACTATCTTCTATTTTTGTTATCTGTACAATAAATACATCCGGAGTGGAATAATAGCAAAATTTAATAAGCCTAGGGACATTTAGGAAAAACGCAACAGTAGTTTGGATAATTGTAAGAAGGACGATGGTGTTTGTAGACCAGATCTGTTATAATATTTATGGGTTGAGGGTGGGCATCCAATTACCTGAACCAAGTGTTCATGTGTAAATGCTGTGAATGCACAGAATATTAAAGAAAGCGTCTGAAGAAGCGCTAGATGCTCTGCCACTTCCACCAGACATGTAAAGATTTTAAAGCTAGTAAGGATCAATACAGCAAACTCTACGCTTTTCCATACCTTGGCCGATATTGAGGTAATTGTATATGATGATAGTACACGTTTTCGACATATATTTGTAGTATCGCCAAAACTGTTAAAATCAGATCACCAGGAATCTATATAGACTTTTAGAATCTAATTATTTAAACAATACCTTGGCCATGATAAGCACCATAAATGGTCTTTGTGTAAATCCGCAGCTTCTTTGAAATCGGATCAAAACAATCGAGATTAAGATGTATAAAACCAGCGATAGCAACGAATATCTAACAAAATGGCATTTTTTACCACCGTACTTAACTTACAGTATTAAAATCAAGGCAGTGAATGGCAGACGATGAACATGATATAATGGGTGCCGTACAATAATGTGTGCGGCGGACACCATATTCTCTTAGGAATATTGTTTTTAGGTGTAGCTCTGCTTGGAGAAACTAGACAAGACAGCCACCGGCTATTGCCATTTCGACTTCTGGAGAGCGATTTGAAAAAGACAACAATGGGTCCACGAACGTCAAATACCACAACCACAGCCACCCCATTCAGCTGCACCCTAGCCCCTTTTTGCCACAATGCCCCTTGCCAAAAAATTGCTCGGGACATCAGAAGCAGATGCAGGAATGTACTTTATGTAAAAACGTATAATTAAGGTAGCTTTCAATGTAAAGGCTACGTTTTGGGTCGTAGAAGGTCTAAAGGGACTATTCGTTCTTCCGCTGCGATTTGGGGAATCGTATTCGGAATCAGCGAAAAATACTGCACAAGATGTACCTGGTCCCGAAACGAATTTTAAAGTTAAGCAAAAACACCTTACAGTAAATGGATTCCTGGTTTTTGCAGGTTTTGTGCGCCAAGCTGGCCTTAACAACATTTCAGTGCACTAATGAGAGTTGAAATGCCACGTTTTCGGCGGAGAAGAGCATTGATGGTGTCGCGAGTTCACTCCGCGGCAGCGCAATTCTTGTTTTTTTACCGCAATCGGCGGGTTGCACGATCCGCTTAACAGGCTCTGACGACCTCCAGTAGCGAAGCAATAGTAAAATCGTAGAGCAAGCTTCATACACCATAGCTGAAGGGTGGCCAGCACTCCGATCTGTTCTACTTATACCACCGTCCGCCGCCAACGGTACAGAGAAGGGTCCGACTTTCACGATTTACGTATCTATCGCAAGCTCTTGAAAAGTGAGTATCTCCGATTTTCCAGTCTTAAATTTCTTAAGATCGGTTAAGATTTTGCGAAACGAGCCGAATTTACGATGCTTTTCCCTGAAAACGTTCTTTAACAAAAACCGCAATACATGCATTTTTACGCCTTCTTGGAATTTTTTTTGATTTTTGTATAAAGATCGGCTATCCGAATTCCGGATTTGTATATAAGTTGCACCCAATAAACTCATTACCCTAGAAAGTCACTTCCCCCGAAAAGTCTCTACCGCGACGGCCACCATCCCCTGCTGCCCCCTTCCCTTCTCACACCTCTCCCCTCGCCAGATACCGCAAGCGCCGGTGGTTCAGTGGTAGAATTCGCGCCTCCCACGCGCGTGACCCGGGTTCGATTCCCGGCCGGCGCAAGTTTTTTTGCTTTTTGGGTATATTATACTTTACCCCTTCTTGATAATCGGAAACTAGTTGTTTCTGCACGGGCCGGGGGCATACGCGGAGGTGGCACTCGTTTCACTGGTAAGGTGACGAAAGTCAAAAAACTTGCAAGAATCGATGCATAACCGGTTTAGCTTGCATAATCTATCAAATCTGACTAATTCGGCTATGCTGATGCCAATTCTGTCGAGAAATCGCAGAAAAATTCGCTAAAAACAGAGATAAAAGCTAAAAACTGTATTTTCATCGAAAAAAGATATCTTGGCCCGTTATCTTGTGTTTTAGCTCTATATTGTTAATTCGCCATATATATATTATCTATTTTAGGGTTTTTATATCAATACAAACGTTTAATGGTATACTAGGGGCTTTAACAGGCCTTTTCCCTTACCTGTGAGACGAGTGCCACCTGTGCGTATAGCCTAGAGTTGTTATCTGGCATCCGGGTCCGGGTACCCGGTTGCGAACGGGTAGTTGGTGCGAGCGGGTCCGACCGGGTACCCGGTCGAGCGTGTAGTTGAGCCGAGCGGGGCCAACCGGGTAATTGGTCGACCGGGTCCGCAAACGGGTACCCGGACCCGGACGCCAGATAACAACTCTAGTATGGCCCCCTGTCACGAGATTTCGTGGCATGTTGCATTTACAAGATACAGTAGCGTGCAAAAAGCAGGCAACCACCAGAAAGCTGTTGTAGCGCGGCCTCCTCGTTATATTTTGGGCCAAACGGAATGTTTTCTACTATTTTCGATGCCGTAGAATCCGATGAGCAGGGTACCAAGCCGCGAAAATAACGTTTAGTAGCTCAAAATCTAGAATTTTGAATCACCCCAAAAAATCGTCTGCTTTCTACGTTTCAAAAACATCACCATTGTGTTCAGCATAGTGGATTTACCCAACGTCAGTATCGTTTGGGATCGTTTCGGCTTGGCTCAGCCGGAAAGCAACGTTTCCCTAGCGCCAAGCGGGCCAAGAAGTGGGCTCGCCTTTGGGAAAGGCATTTCAGGCGCCCCCATAAGACCGAGTCGAACGACTATTAATCCTAGCTTCCTCACCGTCTGAGCAGGTTTTAAGAAACCATAAAGACTGGCTTTGGGTAAATCGACTATGCTGAACACGATGGTGATGTTTTTGAAACGGAAAAATGCCTTTAGAAAAGTAAATTTGGAGCTATTTTAAATTCGATATTTAAGCTACTAAACGTCATTTTCGCTGCTTGTGACCCGCTCATCGAATTTTACAGCATCGAAAACACTGGGAAACTTTCCGTTTGGCGCAAAATATAAAGAGGCATCCGAGTTACAAGTGCTTCCTGGGTGTTGCCTTCTTTTTGCACGCTACTGTACACCATTACACAAAAATCGCAAAGAGATGCCATGTTTGGAATTCCTGAAATTTCAACAAAACAATTTTTTGAAGTTTTGTTTCAGTTTTACTTTAGAAACATCATAATTAACAAATTCTTTCGAATTCCAGGTTTCTCCTTTCAATTCTTCATTTTCTGTTCAAATTTTCTTCTTACAGCGCATCCATGGGCAACATCTTCGCCTCGCTATTCCAGAATTTCTTCGGCAAGAAGGACATGCGGATTCTGATGGTCGGATTGGACGCGGCTGGAAAGACTACGATACTGTACAAGCTTAAACTCGGAGGGCTCGTCACCACAACCCCAACCATTGGCTTCAACGTCGAGACAGTCGAGTACCGCAACATTTGCTTCACGGTATGGGACCTCGCTGGCCAAGGCAAAATACGCCCACTTTGGCGGGATTATTGCGAGGTGATTTTTTGCGCCCATCTTTCATTTGATTTTTAGGATACTAAAGGCGTAATCTTTGTCGTCGACTCGAATGATCGCGAGCGAATCGGAGAAGCACGGGAGGAGCTGATGAAGTTGTTGGCCGAGGATGAGCTCCGTGACGCTCCCCTGATCATCTACTCCAACAAACAAGATTTGCCCAATGCCATGAGCGCCTCTGAAGTGACGAATAAGCTGGGGCTGCACACAATGAGCAACCGTCGTTGGTATGTCCAGCCGACTTGCGTCACCTCTGGGGATGGTTTGTATGAAGGCCTCGAATGGCTGTCGAACCAGCTCAAGGCCAATTGAACATTTCCCGTTACTCTAGCGCTTGATTCCTAGTCTCTAGATCCCACCCATGAGTTGCCTATCACCAAAATTTAATTGCTTCGGTTTTATTTACATTATTTGGGTTCTATTTAATTTTTTTTTTCTGCACCTGTTTAAGTGTTTTACCATTGATGTTGGAGAATAAAAGAGTTTAGTAAATGACCAGGGTTGAAAAGCCGCTTTGCGACTTTTCAACCCTGGCCCTGTCTGATCTCATGATATACCTGACTTTGCATAATTCTTCGACTTCCTGTGACAAAAACGAAAATCGCACTCTCCACCCCATTATATAGGCCACCGGAACTTCCGGCACATGCTAATTTTTGCCTAACAAAGAAGGTCGTCGGTTTTCTAACAAAAACCTAAATTTAATGTCGAAAATAGGCAATTTTGATAAATTTGATGTGCGTGCAGTCATCTCTAGGCCATTACGCACCTAATGACGTATCACACATACCATAAAATTCATTCCCTATCGAGATACCCTCCGGACACCCTGACGGAAGTTGCATGCAAAGTGTCACACACACACACACACAAACACTATTTTTTTATATATAGTAGGATTTGCAGTGTCTATTCTAATTTTAACGATATTAATATTTTTTATTAGCTTTTCAATAGTTTTGTATGCTGTGAGCTTACCTAAAAGCTGACCCTTCCATCGCCGATCCTGTCCTGTCTCGTCCGTCCGGCCGGCTGGAAAAGGTTTTCAATCACGTCGTTGAAAAGAAAAACCCATTAGGCTTGGAAAATCGATTACGGCAGTGTAATCAGGTGTCGCCCGTAAGTGTCTCGTTGTGTTTGAGGGCTAAAAACACGCCCGTCTTTTCAGCAATAATTTCGCAATTTCGTCAGGTTTCTTGACATACCACTTCCGTTTTGTCTTTTGTCTAAAGTAGAATATTAGATAGTAGTATGTAAGCTGTGCGTATCACAACCGCCCATGGGTTCGGTCCAGATGGTTCAAGGGAAAGGGCGTACTGTACGTGTTTTTCGCGCGTTGCGTGCGGGTGCGCGGAATAGCAACCGGTTTTTAGCTGCCAGGCCTTCTTTCGCAATTGCGCGACGCGTCTATCGCACGCGTTGCGGCCTTCCCTCCTTTCCAAAGCTACCGGACGTTTTATTAGGAGCCGGGCCGCTGTGGTATGGCTCCCCGTCTTTCGGGTGCCGGTTACGCGGTATAATGCGGTATTGTCCCGTAGCCCTGGGCGTAGCCCTAGCCTTATTATGCCAAATTTGGATTTATGACCCATAACGGGATATGTTAAGAATATGACAATCTGGTTGATGTTCAGAAAATAGTTTTGGATATAAGCCTCGTGTTTTGAAAGTTCTGCGCGGCTCGGCCTGAATTAAACGTTCTCTTTTTGCAAACTTCTGCTAAGCAACGTCACCGATATTTAGATTTGTATGTTATTGTTGCGGTTAACAGCTTTGTATTGCTTATTTTCCGTTTGGGCACAATGTGAAGAGGCTTCAGGGCTAACCGTTGACGTGGATGCATATCGGGAAAAGGTTGGTAAATGTGTAAAACTAGAATATGCGAACTTAGGTGCGTCGCATGTTCTATCATGCCTACAATGGATATCTTGATTATGCTTTTCCTTATGATGAGCTGAAGCCAATATCATGCAAAGGTCTGGCAAATCAAGGTCAAAAAAAATAGTGATCTTTAGGGGTCGACACATGGGGATCATTCTCCTTGACATTAATCGATGCGTTGGATACTTTACTGGTGATGGGGAACGCTACAGAATTTAAGCGGGCGGTGGATCTTGTTTTAGCTACCGTTGATCCGGAAGCAAATGTTAATGTTAGGTAAGTAGACGGAGTATATGTTTGACATCCACTGCGGCTCTTTAGCGTTTTTGAGACAAATATCCGCGTCGTTGGAGGGCTGTTAACAGCACATATGATGAGTGGAAGAGTTCCAGGTAGGTCTATTATGAAAGTATTTTATACTTTCAGCCTAAACATTTTTTATTAGTTTGTTACGCTTCCACGGTCGCTTTTAGGTATGGATCTGGAGCCAGGATGGCCTTGCTCAGGACCTTTACTCCGTCTAGCTGAACGAATGGCGGATCGGTCCGTTAATAGTTTCAGAAAACCTTATAACAATTCTTTAGATTACTTCCGGCTTTTAATACGGATACTGGAATGCCATTCGGCACTGTAAATCTTCGCTATGGTGTCCACAAGGTATAAAAACTACCTTTATGAAACTATTACAAACAACATAGACGGAAACACCAATCACTTGCACAGCCGGAGTTGGGACATTCCTGCTTGAATTCGGGGCACTTTCACGGCTAACTGGTGATCAACAATATGAGCAAGCGGCTATGCGGTTGGGATGGTTTTTGCTGAGCAACAACTTTTCTAGGGCACTGGATGCATTGTGGAAAAGCCGGTCACCGATTGGGCTTGTTGGAAACCACATAAATGTACAAACGGGTCAGCTACAATTTTTATTAAAATATTTTTTTACTCCTTCAGGTGTATGGACAGCCACGGATTCTGGAATTGGAGCTGGAGTTGATTCATATTTTGAATATTTGGCAAAAGGCGCGCTATTGTTTCAGCGTCCCCATTTGATGAAGCAATTTTACGGTAAGATTCTTGCAGTGTTCACCTCATAATGCGTTATAGATTACGAAGAAGCTATTAATAAACATGTGAGACATGAAGATTGGTTTCATTGGGTCAGTATGACGAAAGGAACCACATCGCTACCAATTTTCCAATCTTTGGAGGCGTTTTGGCCCGGGGTCTTGGTTGGTCCTAGAAACGAAATGTTTTATGCTTAATTTCAGACAATGGTCGGGAAGGTTGATGACGCATCTCGGATTATGTTACAATATTCAAGTCTTATTAGACGCTACGGTGTACCTCCAGAATTTTATCATCTTGGTGATCAGGAGCCAGTAGGTTTTTTAACGATCGGTGACCCTTCCTTGCATCAGGAGAAAAATAAGAACACGGAACGTTTAGGTTAATGGCAGAGCCGCCTATCCGTTACGCCCGGAAATGGCTGAAAGTCTGATGTATCTTTATCGAGCCACCGACGATCCTCATTGGTTGGAATTAGCTGCACAAATGGTCGATGTAAGCTTCTCAATATTTTCAATACCAAAAAATATTTTTAGACCATCGAATCAGCAGCAAAAACAAGTTGTGGCTATGCGACAGTTAATAAAGTGCAAGAGCACAGTATCGAAGATCGAATGGAATCATTCTTCCTAGCCGAAACGACCAAATATCTGTATCTCATCTTCGACCCTGAAAACTTTTTACACAATGATGGATCGTATTCGAGAGAGATACAAACGACAAATGGGCCCTGTATTATCGAAGGTAAAATCTTATATATTAATTATAACATTTAAACTTAATTTTAAGCCGGCGGATATATTTACAATACTGAGGCCCACCCTCTCGATCCCGCAATATTACATTGTTGTTCCGCCAAGCGACAAGCCGAGCGAGAATCGATGACAAAGTACCATTGCCGTGTACTATATTTATACTTTCAATTACTAGATTCTCGTCAAATATTGATTTTGTTTCCCTGCTATACTATGATGATCGTCATTGGAGCGAGAAAAGCCAAGACAACCAAGAAGAAGTGAAGGATCAGGAGAAGCACGATAGCTCTGATTATATTAAACAACAATACGGAAGTGAAGATCTCGAATTCGAGGTATCTCAAAAATGAGAGTAAAAACACTGTGTTTTTAGATAGATCCAAGCCTCGTCGCGGCAGCTCCAGCTCCCATGCAGAACATTTATGAACGAGTTGATGTATGTTGCCAAATGGCCAAGCTAATTAAACTTCCTACAGGTCAAGGATTTTATCAAGAAAGCGCGAACCCTCGATGAAGAAGCAGCAAAGAAGAAGCCTGCCAAAGGGTGGGCAAAGGAAGTACCAAATTATACTGAAACTATCAAAGAAATCTTTGCGGAGATTGCTGCAGAAACTGATGTAAGTAATTCACGGCGTATCGAGAAAAGGGGTTCAGTATTTTACGACGGAACTGCCAAATTGGCAGCTTTTGACGAAGCTGATAGAAGCGAGGTCAAATGCCCGCGACGTTCAAGTGGTTCAGGCTAGGATTACGGTAGGTTCCCTTGAAATAATTATATTTAGTATTTAGGATGCCTGTGTAGTACTTGATAACATTGGAGATTCGGCAGCCTTTCGTTATTTTCTGGGTGTCATTTATGAGGTCGGCCTGCTAAATTTCATTAATAAATTAAAACTTCAGAAACATATATATCCAAAATATTCCATACCTTACACCCGGGGAGCCGTTTGTTTGATAGGAGAAGTACCAATCGAAGCCGATAATTATTTCCGCGAAAAACCAGGTAGCCAGGGCAAAAATTTTCATGCAGTACGAATTGTTTAGAATTCCAAATAGAATCAAGCAAGACAAAGAGCAACCGTTCTAAAGAGCGACAATTCCGCTTTGAACACCCTTATGTGAGTATTTTGTGTCATCTAAGGAAATGCACGATATCTAGGAATTTGAGACTCACGCTGATAATCTTCTTCTCACTGCGCCGATACCTGGATTCGAATCGAAATTTAATGCACTGGGTTTTATTTCTCCTAGGGACAATGGGAGTGCTGCTATTGAATCGATTGCTCAATAGAGAAAATAAGTCTATAAATGGACATCGACTGGCCAAACGTATTAGCTTTATTTTTTACCTATTTACTGTATCATTTTCCCAAAAATTTTATTTCGGGTGTTTTCTCGCTGTCTATATTTATCATTCCAGGTCGTTTCTATTGACGGGTTGTCCGTACTGTGATACGATATTAGTCGAATTCAGAATGGGTTATTTCAATGATTTATTCACTGAATGTCTAATTCTCATAAAGATTTGGGAATTTATAGTCGCCGGTTTCTTGGAGCCTAAAAAGCAAAGTATGATTGTGATTTACTAAAACCTACCAATTATTGGGGCTCCATTCGGTATCCTTTCTTTCCATGACATGCATTGTGTAGACATGTCGGCTGAGAGGTGATGTGTTCGCTTCACTTTTATGAACAACCAAGCCGTGGATTAGAATCGCCGAACCTTAACAAATTATAATTGTCGAAAAATCAAAAAGAAAAAGTCAGTATATTAATTACCGATTTCGCTATAAAAAATGCGCATCTTTTAAGGAAAATTTAGATACCAATAAAATAGTAAATCGAGTAACCGCGTAGAAAACGCGCCGTGACTGCCGATCCCCGACTTACCTTTTTTGATCGGTACCGGCACAAATTTTTCCGGTGCATAGGTCGGCTTCTCTCCATTAAATTTGAGCAATGAACCACCGCTCTGATCGTGTGTCCTCACAAATCGATAGTCAACCTTGGTTACTGAAATTCATTTGTTAAAATTTTTAATCTAAACTTAGCAAGCAGTCAACTTTACACCCACTTTTATGACTCCCAGGAATAAAAGATAGACACCCGTTTTCTACCGTCGCATCGTCCAGCGCAATCCAGATTCCGACCTAAGGTAAACGAAACTATGGGTTTTAGCCACTTATCATACCAGATGCTCGATCGGATTGACGTACAGAAACGTAGCGTCAAAATGATCTGTCACCGCACCGCCAATTTTCGGTTGCTGAAAAAGCGAAGTTTATCGATTCTTAAATTTCGCTTTGGTTACCTTGAATATATACATGCTCTGAACGATGGCCGGGTCGGCAAAGTGTAAGTCGCGGAAAATACTCTTGATGCGTGGGTGGAAGCTGTACCTCTTGAATATATCGTTTTTCCAATGCAAACCTAAAAAATAGTGGTTCACAAGCTTTTCGAAAATTCACCATGTCCAACTTTGTTAAAAGCTTTTTGCTTTTCGACCAGCAGCTGTCCATCCTTGTCCAAAGCCCCTTCTTCAAGGAAAAAGCGGATTTTGTCGGAACTATTCAAGAAGTATTCATCAGCTGCGTGCTAAAGTATTGATTTAGAGTATTCAACTTTTTACAACGTAGGAAAATTACGTTAAAAATCTACTTTATCTTCATCATATGTAGTGAACACACTTTTTGGATGATCTTCCAAGTTAGTCCCATCAATGATGACACCCATTTCTAAAAATACACAATTAACTTTTTCATAAAAACTTACCTTTTCGTAGGGCATCGCATTCTTCTGAAGTAAATAAATCTTCGACAACTGCATAGCCATCTTGGTTCAATTTTTCTGATGTGGTGGCCATTTCTACAATTCGTTTGTTGAGTAAATAAGATTAAGCTTAGAAAACTAAGAATGGAAAAGTATAAATATAGTGTTAATAACGAATTGGTGGTAGCCAAGGAGGGTTCCCCGTCTGCCCAAGCCACTCAATAATCTTATCATAGCGGGATCGATGTTTTTTGCGTGCCTTTTATGGCAGCTCCAGGGTCAACAGGTCAAGTTCCAAACTTTCACGCATTAAAGGCATCAACACATTTTGCAAAAGAAATAAATAAAAGAAATGGGCGTTTCTATTTTTCTCGCCGATTTGAGAGCTTTCGATAAATACTTAAATCGTTTGAAATCGGACGCGTCTCCGGCCCGCTAGAAGAGAGTACCTTTTAGACACCCTGTACTTCCGAAGTTTTGTGAGACATTACCAATAAATCATTTTTATTCGCGTAGAGACCGTAGAAAATTCATCATATGTACAAAATATATATTTGGGAGTAGCATGGATTCGAGAATTATCCAATTTTTTGCGTGGGATGATCGGTGGTGTTCGGCACCTTTTTGTTGACGACCATATCGTATTGATCGTTGGCGGTTAGTTCTTTGGTGGCCATGTGACCGTATGTGGAATAAATCTAAAAAACCCAACTATACAGAAACCGTAATTAAATGTATTATACTAATGTTCGTTTAATTTGGTTCATGTATCGAATACCATTTATGAATGTTAAAAAAATTACCTTGTAACCGGTTGAACTCGGGATCAAGCTGGTGGGTCGTCCCCAGACCATGTCGCCGAATAGGATAAGGTCATCAGCTAAAAGATATTTTAATATACGAAAAGACAAATTAGCGAAGAAAGTAATTTGTGTGAATATTTCAAGAACTCAAAAAAATTATGAATTTACCCTGGCTCCAGGCGCTGAAGACGTACGCGGCCTCGCGACCCGGATCTTGGTTAAGGTCAGTGAGGAACTAAAAAAGTTTAGGAAACTTTATTTTATTGATTGACCTTTAAGTAGTAGCTATCCCCTTAAATGGCTTACCTTCGAATATGTAGGTCCTGAGCATGGCCACGGCAACGGGCTCAATCCACAATCGTAGTAATTCAGACCGCACGAGTCTCCAGCCCAGAGGCCATTCTGAAAAAAAACGGGACATTAAGCTCAAGACGATGAAATTTACATCATGTCGGCAGGTAGGGGCCAGAGATCCGCTCGCCTCGCAGGTACATAGGCCGTAATTTCCACCGGACAATCCGAGGAACACATCCACGCTTTTTTGCATCGAGGCGCCGACATCGCAATTTCCTAAAAGCGTTGATAAGTGGGAGTAGGGTTTATAAATTTTTAAATTTGCATAAAAGACTAATCAAGGGAGGGAGAGACAGAAGGGGGGCTTTCCACGCTGCGTGACACGCGGCGTGTTGCGTTATGCTACTGAATTTTTAACTTCTGAATCGTTTTATCGCAAATTTATTCCACTTTCTTTATTATAAATTTGCTAGAGCTTTTCGATATTATCTTATACTTTTTGATGTAATTTCCCAGTCCTATCTTTCCACCCATTTTAATACCTACCGTCAACAGCATTGATTGGCCCTCCCTTGATCAATTTCCGGCCGAGCGTCACCCCCATCGAGTGTGTAATCAAGGAAACCTTCTTTTGGCCCGTATATTTTAATACAGCCTCAACAAATCGTCGCAATCGGAGGACATCCTTGCAGTTGTGAGTCCTACAGCGCCGTTTGATCAGAATCAGCCTGATGTTTACCTTGTCTCAGCATTCAGGGCATTTGTGTCACCCCAAGAGGTTGCATACAGATCGGCCGTGGTGTAGCCTTTTGACAGGAAGTAAGTGATCGTGTTGTCCCATCTGGAAAAGGCTTAGGGTATTTTGGTAGGTATTAGTATTAATTTGAGGTATGAAACCGAGAGTCTGATTTTTTGTATTCCAGAAACCAAAGAAGAAAAGATTTACCCAGTTGCTGTCATGCTAGATGAAAGTGCTGAATCAGAGTTGCCGTGGATGAAGATAACTGGAGTTTTTGTGCTCTTAAGTATGGAACATCAGGTTTTAATTTGGATAAATTACCTTTGGATTCGCTGAGCTTTTGCCACCATAACTTCCTTGAGTGCCGTGGTCTTCTCGTTGGAAATCATCGGCAACGTAGTTATTGCTAAAACCATCATTTAATATTAATTCCAAATTTAATAAAACTAAATCAATTAAAATAACGCAAATTTAAGTTATAAAGGTATCATTAACGCACAAACCTATTCAACCAGCTTTTAAAATCATCAGTAATCGGTCCGACAACCGAGCCAGCAATCACCGCCGCAGGCAACAACAGCAACAAGTAACTCCTCATTGCTAGAACAATATTGGTATTAAGGTACAATCCCCCAACAACCACTACCCGGTTACAAGGAACAGCTTTTATGCAAGTTCAGGGGACCCAGTAAAACGGCTAGCTGATCGCCTCAATTTGTCCAATGGCCCCTTATCTCCACGTTTACAGCGCATGGGGCTCTTTTTCCCCGGTTGCCTGACGGTAGTTTGGTCAAATGGGCAACAGATGGAATAAGAAAGGGGATTGCAGTGGCCGGATGGAATTATCATTATTCAAAGTGTTCAATGCTCAGGTCATACGGTGCCACAGGTGGGTGTGAATCCAATAAGCACACAAAGGGCGCCGGGGTCAACAATCCGTTTTTTGGCTGTTTTTGGATACTTTAAATGGATCAAGACGCCCCGTAGTTATGAGAGCTCTTTCATATTTGGCGATAAGCCAACCGGAAATGCCAGAGCATAGCCGATTGATGCTGATCTTAACACTAAAATAGGTTTTACGCGAATTAACATAAATATTTCGGATCTCGGAGCATTTCGATATGTTAATCTTATAAGTTTTATTGGATACACACACATACGCCGTATTTTTCGTAAACATTGCTTTTGTTCGTGTGATGTGTTCGACGACATACAGCAGAAGCATCTAATAAAAACAACTGACGGGTTTTCTTACCTACCTTTAACTTTAACGTTCAAAACGTAAATTCGATACTTTCACCGTCTTATATATAATTGCAAATTCTTTAAAACACAAAAAGCTAGCTTGAACTTTATACTAAAATCTTTATCTAAACACCTTCCAATTTTTGCGTCAACTCCTTCGCAATCACGATTCCCTAATCTCCCGCACCGCGTTGCTGCTCAAACCGCAGTTCCGGGAATATGTTTCAGACAAGCAGGGCGGTTAGTTCAGGGCCCGCTTTATTGAAGTAAAATGTAGCAATTTTGTATCTTTATTCAGAAAATTATAAGAAACCAAATGTAAATAAAAAGAAACGAAAATCCTGGCCGTGCCTTTAAAACAAAAGCCCGAGCCTTCAAAGCGTAGTTTCGGCATGACCCTGTTGATCCTGACGCGTGGATGGCACTTCATAGCCTTAAAAGGAATTTGTTTAAAAGGAAAGGAAAGGAGAAATTTGTTACAATTAGTTAGTACTTTGACCTACGTCTCCTCCTCAGCGTAGCAAGCGCAACTTTGAAAACCGAGCCTTGACCCGACAGAGTTGTATACAGCGTCGCCGAAGAAATAATTAACGAACCGCCAAGCAATAATGGCACTGCCCACACGTTTATAGCTGAAAAAAAATTTCATCTACTCGCAGGATTGACTTACTATCAAAATCCAACTTTATTCCAAGCCCACCGTAGATATAAATTAACCCTAAGCATGCAACAGCTGCATATGCAACTAAAGCATAGGGAACGAACTAAAAATATAATTGTAGATATTGTTTAGCAAAATCACCATAAAAAGGGTTGAGAGTACAGCCTTTTTATGCAATTGTTTTGTCGATTCGCTAAGTACCTCGGATCCATCGGCTAAATAATATACGCTAAATAATTTATGTTAACACTGATCCGCCAAAATGCACAACACCTCAAAGCTGTATATAAACAAAGACAGATTATATAGAAAGTGAAGAACGAGAACAGGATCCCGACTACTATTAGATTCATATTTAATGCAAAATCATAGAAAGCAACACGAGGATGTCGAAGCATATTGTAGAGCTGGTTTTGAGGATTTTTAAGGAAAAACAAGTGCCGAACCTCCGAACCATCGTTTGGAATATCCTTTTTGTCAACTTCGGCAAAGGTTATGGCCTGAAAATTATATAACGATACATCAATATCGATTTCGGAATCATACCACAATAAACGGGGAAAATGCAAGCGACTGTATAATGAAAAGAAAGTGAAAACGGCCCGGTCTGAGATGAATTCCGCTATAATAATGTGCTTTCCTGGATTAAATAAACTACCATAAGCGGTCATTTGCTAGAGTAAACCATCGATGCAATGGACACGTTGCAACGGCCAAAAATAGTTGATTTAGAGCGCCGAAAATGAAGACCTAAATATGGCTAGATGGCTTTAAAAATTTGTCAAGGTTTTAAACAGACGAATAGAGCAAAGATTTGTATTTTCCTGATTCTAGACGGCCCGAAGGTCTAAAGGCGTGTTGCGGCGCAAAAAATTCGTTAGAAATCCTTAGCCAAAAATCCGCAGTGACTTTCCCGCCCTTCAAATCTCATAAACCCACGAGCAACCAATGAGGACGAATTGGTATTGCAGATAATGGTCCCGTAATGTAAAATGCCATTCGAGGAAAGATGGTGACTGCTTGGCCAGATACAATCAGTCCCTCCCCTACAGTATACCACGTCTAAATTTAAAGTTCAATTTTTCAGGACTATCCGAAATATTACATGGATGTAGAATAGGTAAAGGCAATGCGGAAGAGCATTTCGGTCACTTCGTATCTGAAATATGGATTTCAGAGCCGGTTTCTATAAAAAAACCCCCCGGGTCCAATAAGCCGCATTTCTTTCTATAAATAACTTTAGAATGGACATGCTATTAATAGTGCCCTTGTTTTACAAATATTTAGGTAGGCCATAGCCCAAAAATACCAGTTGCAAAGTTCAAAGCTCAAAATTCAAACCAGCAGGTCTCTTTTTTAAAAGATATCTTTTGAGAGTAAACTTTCTCCGAAAAAAATTTCGCATGATCGGGCAACCAGCCCTAAGTCGTGAATATCAAATAAGTATATGTTTTCCACAGTTCCCGGGCATACAAAAATCAGCATTAAAAACTGAATCTTGTAAACGAAATCAGCTTTTTTCACGGTTTTCGAGTTTTTGATAGATCCACAGTCATAAAAAAGCGCATTTGAACCGCGAGAGGCGTACTTTTATTCGGACACCCTGTATGCAGGCTTTTGGGAGGTGTTTTGCGTGTGTTCTATTCGACCTACATGTCAGACCACCCCATTGATCAACATGGTGGTCTAGGGGCCAGTGGCCGAGAAGAGACATTTTAGGTGGAAGCCTGTTCGATTCATCCCCGTCCTCTCCCCACACGCGCAACGACTACGCCACTTTCCGTCTCCAAAATTTTACAAAACTTGACAAAAAATGTAAACAACAAAGGTATTTTTATGTTAAATACTGTCTTACTGCAATCTGTTTTCACATTTGTAGGAAATTCCGTTCGCGACCTAGCGTATCTTGAGTGGAAACTGTCATTATCCGTTAAAGCTACAAAAGCCACCGCGGGCGAGCTCCAATTCAAAATTCATAAATAGATTTTTGCAGTTTTTAGCTAACCGCGTAGTTTCCTCTAAACCTTTGCCTATTTATAGCAAAAAAACTGCGATAATCTTTGAAAACGAGCTGTTTCGCGAAAACCAAAAAAACCCTACTGATTTTTATTTTAAGAAATAATTTAGCTACGCACAACTTTTCTCTGCATTTTCCGCGGGCATTTTTGCAACATTTCCTATGAAGCGATATTTTTGGCCGAAACCACTTACTTTAAAAACCAAAATAATCAGCACGAGGAAATAGACGAGTAGGGACACAGCATATATTGAATAGGTATAAACTCGTACGGATATTGGGGGTTCGAGAAAATGGATCGTAGTATTGTCCATACTTACAAAGCAAAATTGAAAGGATGGCGGGTAAATAATTTTCGGCCGTTGCACCTGTTTTCCTCTACATCAGAAATTAAGCGCGGAAAACTTCGGATTAAAATAGCTTTTTTCGAGATTGGTGCAATATGTTTCGATGTTCACAATTTTTTTAGTCACGGTAAATTCAACCATTTAATGTTTTTAGGTACCTCAAAAATGGTCTGATTCGGACCCTCAGGCCATACTGTGGACGGCTTAATTTAATTCTAAAATTTTTAAAATTTTTTGTGTATTATTTATACTAGTTTTTAGAAATCGAATCATTTATACAGGAAAGCTCAATGTAGACAGACTAGCCAGCAGGATATCACAGTGAAAATGACAATCACTCCGCCAACATCATTCCAGCTCCGACTTTGGCAGCAACCATTTCCCCTCAAGACCGCGTTGGTTTCTCGCTATTATTTCCTAAGATGCGGTATGTTAGATAAAGCTCTGGCTTAATCCTACCATCCAGCCCTCCAAGGTTTTCATTTCTTCTTTGAGAAGTTGGGTTCTGGTCTCCTAAATTTTTTGATGCTTAATATATTTTGTTTCGAACCGCTTTGTCCTGGCTTGAGACTTCGGCTTTTGGATGGAAGATGCCGAGAAGAGTTTGCAAAAATTCAGATTCATCGAAGGGTGATGATGGTTCCTAAAGGAGGTAATCAAGGAGCAAAATAATATTCCGCATTTTACATATTAGTATGTAGTAATTACATATTGACTACCTTTGATTCCAATCGACAGTTCTGCAGGTGCTTAGCTAGTTCAACGGCGGTGTCAGCTTGGGCAAAAATACGGGGGAAGACGACGTGGAATGGTGGAGTGGTCGATGTGGATGGGGTCGAGGTTCCTGGAATTAAACTTAAAGAATTACACCGTTACACTGTTTTGCCAGTGCAATATACTTTTGAGACCTGCACAGACGATTAGTTCGTGGCGTAGACTTTCATTTTCTGCCATTAAAACTAATCATGCTCGTCCGATTCTATGTTTTACCCCCTAACAAAACACCTGCCATGGCTTTAATGGAAAATGTGATACCTGAAAAATCCCAGAGCACCTGTTTTTCCGGTAAAATCAAGCTCACCACTATAAGGAGTATTTGTGGGCACACCAGGGACGACCGTTTGAACATCGGTCGCCAGGGAAGTCGACGACATCGACTTAAAGAATATCGATTTTGGCGAGAATTCGGGAATTACATGCGCCAATGGGAAATCCGTCTGGACAGCCACTTCCTTCAAAAGCCACTGCTCATTGTCAGAATTCCTAACGTCCGCAATCACGCGCTCAAACTCGTATTGAGTTTTCCTAAAAAGTAATGAAACGGTGCGCGTGAGGCTTACTTTGGGCTTGGGTGTTCTTCGAGGATGACCTTGCGCTTCATCTCGTCACTTTCCGGTTTTCCCAAAAGCCAAGTGGTCTTTGATTGGTCGAGAGCCTACGAGATGACCAGGTTATAAAATATAACATTGCTGATTACCTCTTTCATCGGTTCTGACAGCACGGAAACCGGAGATCCGGTCGGGCTAGCACGGCGGCCGTTCACTAGCTGAAAGGGAAAGATGAAAAAAATTGGTTTAAGGGATCTTTACCTCAAATGATGAGGCGACAGTGGAGTCGTTGAATGAATCGAGGCGGACACGGTTCTAAAATTTATTAAAATTATTGGGTTTGGTACTTTTTATGAACTCCAACGGTCATGAGTATTAAGGTACAGCGAAGTTTTATCTGTATAATAATGAATTTTTAATTTTTGACAGTTTAATTGTTTGGATAAAAAGTAACTCTTATTAGAATAAAAAAAATCATAATTTGCTTAGAATAAGGAAAGTATAACCTCCGGACAATCTCTGAGTTTCGAACCAGTGTACTTTAGGCCGGAAGTTAATACGTAGCTCGGGCAGTCTAAACACATTTTCCTGCTCCATTTACCAGTAATTTTAACTTCCTGGATTGCTGGATTGCTAATAGAAACTATACACTTCGTAAACCTCCACCCCTGCCCCAAGTCGCACTGTCCACTTGAATGAAATCAATGCTTATCTATTTTTATGAAGTATTTGCATCATGTGCCCCCGGTCTCCCCCTTTCTTTTTCAGTTGAAAGTTCACCCATCCAAAAAGGGGGAGAAAAGCCTGTCATCGAAAGAAGCCGTTGGGCTCTTGACCGTCTACATGCCAACTTTCACAAGGCTTTTGGCGGGGTTCTGGCTGAACTGATAAGGGGGAGAATTGGAGGTGGGGATGGACACTCGGGACACTCAAAAAGCTTTGTTGTCCTCCAGAGATAGTTGGAACAAAGAAAAGAATACGGGCAGGGCCCATAGAATATCGTAAAGATCGTAAAGTAAAAATAGCTGGACTTACCGTCATTTCCTCGTATTCACGCATTAGTGTGTCGACGTCAGTGTCGATGACATTTTGTTCTGATGGTAGTTTTGTCAGCCAGTTGTGGACCTAAAACAGATATTAAAAATATTGGAAAGAGTGGATTTGACTGATTTAATGTTTGTAATAGCTTACGGTGTGACTAGCCGGGATTTTTGGGCTATTCTGAAGTTGTGATGGGACCGAATGACTATTCGGGAGTTGAGGAAGAATCACAGACTTGTGGACCTAGAAGTTATGAATATTTAATGGAATTAAAAAAGTATAGCAAGCACAAGGATGTCAAATTACCATTGGAATAGCATCCTCGTACTCCTCGACCTCGTGCGGCAAGGATTCACCGGTCTGAAAATAACGGACTTTTTGTTGTTGTTGTTGACAATATTCTGTACATTTTAAGTATAATACAGAGTAAATAAAGCCGTTTAGTTGTCTTAAACAGAACCAACTTTATGCGCTCCATTCGTCGCAACAACACGTCCAAAATGAATCAAACATTGTCGCATCATCATGAAGTCTGCTTCAAGCGCGACATGTGATGTTTCCCTTGGCGACAAATCCATCGTCCCAAATCGTGCCAGCATATGCTTCAGATCGACGAGATCCCCATCCCGTTGCTGAATCGTTTCCAGACTTTGTTGACAGGCTCCTGGAAAGCGTCACTTGTAGCAGTTCAGCCTCGCCTACCAATGCGCTGGTTGATCGTCTCCTGCTGTTGGTTGAGGATCGACTCTTTGAAGGTGACCACCTGAAAATCGGAAGTTATGTCTAGGCGGTATTGTCTTGTAAAAAACGATAAATTTGGTGGGTTGTATAGGTTCAGTATAATTGATGAAATACCTGATCAAGTTGTTGCATCAACTCCTGCTCACGGCCACGGATTAGAGCGAGTTGGTGGGAAACCATGTTGTTGATTTCGCGCTTGATCTAAAAATTGAAATCTTTTGAGAATCAAGAATCCGAATCTCGTAAATCTAGGCAATTTTGCTCAATTTTGTCTTCCTAGGTCCGTTAAACCGGAAAAACAATGTTACAAAAGCATACTCTTTCCGAGTTGGCACGCAGGTGTGCTTTAATGGTGGTGATCCGAGCGGCCGCATTCTCCAGCGACGACAACTTTTGTCGAAAGCCATTCTCGAGGGCCAGATGACCACCCTCTGAGCACGTAGACGACATGCTTAAAACATTTTTTTATTAAAAATCCACAACTTTAAAAATCAAAAAGTTTTGTTCAAAACAGGTGGATCCCAAATTCAATGCGAATTGAATCAGCGTAAAAAGTCACGTCTGACGCAGCCACAAGCGAACCGATTGGGCTTCACCCCTCTCGCCCGGTCGTGAATGCCATATAAATATTCGGGGGATTAGTGATAGCTTGTCTGAAGAGAGTGCAGACAGCTAGAAGGTCGCGAAGACAACGCACCCACTTGGGATGGCCCCTCCCTTTCCCCTCTTCTAAACGTTTTTGGCCAACATTGGACCCCACCCCTCGTTTCTTTTCTCTCTCTTCTCTATCGCTAATCTCTTGCTTTCTAATTAACGTTAGAAGGGGTGCAAACTGATTAAAATAATGGTCAAAAGGATTGAAATAATGGGGGGAAGGACGGGGGGATTGGTATTGCTGTACTCTAAATGCACTCACATTACATCGCGTAAGCGGCTCAAGAAATTGTTAAGGGGTACGATTTCGGGATTATTAACTCTGAATTAGCGGAAGGGGGATAGAATTTGGGAGCCGGTATTTAAAGAAATTGTTAAGAAAACCTTTCCGTCCAATTAAATACGGCTCTTTTTTTAAATTTAAATACCTAAACGTTTCATGTTTATTATTTTAGGAGAATATTTATTTGATTTGCGAGAAATTCCCACTAGAACCGAAGAAAACTAGGTTATTTTCGTGCAGAATTAGAAAATCGTAGTTTTGAGCATCTTGTAACTCTTGCAAAATTGGCGTCGAGGTTCGAACTAAAAATACATTTATAGCGACAACATAAAAATGCAAAAGATGCTGTGAGAGCCGAAAAAATTCCACGCCCGGGCCATCATGGAGGTCGTGCGTAACTTCTGGAAGGATCTCAAGGTAATACTTTTCCAAAGGAACGAGTAAGCTTGGCTAGGCATTCTACTAATATTTATTTCTGTTGATTTAGGTGAATCGGCCGTCCGAGCCAGTAGCCTTGGCCGAGTTCGAAACATGGTACCGTAGGACGTCTCGCGTTATGGCTAAAAATTTAGCCGCTGTCTTTCTGCATGTAGGACTTAATTGCTAACTTTACTTTTGATTTCTAGTGTGCGATTGGGGCGATCGCCAGTGGGATACTGTTCTTGACTCCCGGTGTGCGCGGATATGTGCAACAGATGCCGATGATACGATAGTCCGTTTTTTACTATTACTGGGCGTTACCTTTTCCTCTCGATCCAGTTCGAGGATTTTTCGAGGATTTGCGCTCTTTTTCGGGATTTCTTCAAAATTTCTAAGGATAGAGCACGAAGTCTCAAAGTCTTTATGACAAGTCAAACAATTTAATACCGGCAACTTCCAGCATACTTTTGAAGCTGTGACTGTAAAATTAAATTTCGACCTTTTCGCATTTTTCAATATTTTAAATTGTGTCTTTTCAATTCTGAATAGCAAGATTTTCGAGTTTCAATGGTTTCAGCTAGTAGACCTAAAAAGTAAACCTGCAATTCAGATAATTTCATACCCGTAGGATGTTAGATTAGCGGCAACGACGATAAAAACCCATCAATAACAACTTGAAAAGCTTGCCTTGCCTGTCCCTTTAAACGACTTTATAATAGTTTGATCTACGCTGCTGGAGTCGTTGTACCAATTGTAACGGGCACCTGGCCTCTCGAATCAATCATCGGCTACCTGGCTTGGATCCTTCACACGATTCTACTCGTTCTCGTCACAACTGGTATGTGCCCCCCCCCCTCGGCGTCGTTACCTCAAATTCTAGTGTTGGCCAGCGACTTTGACACGGAGATGCCAATGGTGATACTGATGGGGCTGAGCCTGTTCTCCCTATTTTTCTGTATCCTGTGCTCACGACCTCACTGGCTTTTTGCGAAAGCACGCTGGACTGTATTTTCATGGATCATTTGGCCGTTCCTCATCCAAGTCATCCAGGTTTATAGTTAGAGGTTTATAAGTACAGGGCGTCCTAAAAAATCACGCATCACTTTCTGCGCTTCATTATAAAGTTATAAAATTAATCCTCACAGATTTTTTAGGAGCCTATAAGCCGTTGATTTTCAGGCATCTATGCTGCTTTACGATTCATCGTGGTTCATCAGTTCGCTATTCGGCGCCATACTAACGACGTATATCCTCTACAATGTTGACGATGTCACCTATGAAAGCCCGTTTCCCACTGTTGTCTATTTGTATTGTCGTATCCCATGGTATTTCATTTCCAAGTGTTCAGCTTCCTTTCTTGGTTAATGCTTCGCCTCTTCCTCCTCCAAAATTACTCAAAAAAGTTGCCTTCTATTGGTTGCCTGCCGTGGTTGTGGATCTGTGATAAATGTCGCTTTACCTTTTTTTACCAATTAAAGCTTTAAAAACAATTTTATGAAGGGTTTTCGGTCGTGGGAGCCTCGAGGTGGGTTCGCGGCAGCTTTTGCTTTGGGCGGTAACCTTGAATGGCGTGTGCGGATCGAGTTTAGGGTAGAAATGAGTCACTGCGCCAAAAGTCGCTGTCTCGAAACAAACGGCTTTCAGGTGATTTGAAGGTCGAGAGAAATATGTGACGTATGATCTTAAAATAAAATATCGGCAGTTGAAATAAGAACCGTCTGAATGAAATAAATATATGACGTTGAAATAAAATATGCAAAAACCTGCGTTTATTCGGCATCTGTCCGAAAAAGTGTGTCATTGAATAGAAAAATAGCAAAAAATGTTTTTAAAGAGCGTTCTTTGTATCGCTTTGTATTAGCGCATAAAGATCTCAAATCTACGGACCATAAAGCGCGCTCCTTATTACTCCCCTTGCCAATTTCATGCCATTCCAGGTTTTCATTTTCGATTTCAGGCGATCGGCCGATTGGCTGAAGGGAAAAAGCGAGGGATAGGCGCGATGGCATCCATCCAGAGAGATGCGGATGGCAATCCCGAAATCCAGAAATACCCCTTCTCCCCCCTTCCATCCGATCCACGCACGCTTCACGGAAAAACGAAATTTTGCGCTGGCGCGTGTGTGTGGATATACCACGGGCATAAAACTGGTTCTGACAGTCTCTGTGAAAACAGGTGGGGGAACTGAGGAGATTCAGGCTCAAGGGCTTCCGGATTCAAGTCAAGGTTGTGGAAAAATTATCTAGTAAGCAAGTTAATACAAAAATATGTTAACAGTAAATCTGTTCGCTGCTTTAGCGATACTAGAATCAGTTGAAAATTTCTAAAAATCTTTTGGGTTTCTCCGAGCCTTTTTAAAAAATTAAAGAGCTGCATTTTTCTGGAAATTTGGTAATCGCTTAGATGCACAACCTTTAAATTACGATAAAAATCATAAAAACAAGACTCTTAAAAAGGGTACCTCGTTGTTGTTCAAGTACAGGCTCCGCCCTTCCCCCTCCACCTCCATTCCATACGATGCCATCGATGAGCAAGAGGTGGGAGGAGGAGGAGCATGAGAGGAGGATCGAAATCCCCTTCCATCGTAACGTTCCCTCCGGGCACAGATTCCTCGTGTGTGTCACCATAATACACACCAATTTCCATTCAACACCCATTACATGACGCCCATTTTTGTCATCCTTTTGTTCGTCACGGTTAGTCAGCGATGTCAGGCACAGGTGGGTAGAATTTTTTTGTATTTTTTTTGGTGACATCAAGAAAGCTTATCTTTGAAAAAAACAGGATTTTAATTTTCCAGGTCAAGGAGAATTTAAAAATAAATAAATCCTTGTTGTCCGCTTCAAGTTAGATAATTCTTTTTCGATCTTCTTTCCAGATGACTTTTTCCAATTTTTAAAAGCCTGCCGTATTTCAATTATGCACAATTCCGGCCGGCTTCACTAACGTACGCTATATTTAACAATTATTTTAATGAGCGAGAATGGCAACGTTTTGCTCCTGATATCAGGTCGTTCCGAAAGTTAAATATCCAAATTGAGGTGTAAAGTCGCAAAATTTGTTGGGTTAATGACGGTCTTGGATTACCAAATTCCAGTTTCAAGCCAAATAAACCCGCCAGTTGCTCCTATCATCTTTCTAGCGCTTGGATATGGATTTTGTAATTGGTTCAAATTGTTACCTAACAAACTGAACACACAAAGAAATAATTAACTACGTTTCTTCAAAATTGAGGTACCAGTGCTGCTATTAAAAGAACTGCCCGCCACTTCGCCTGTGAGCTTCAAGCAAAACAAGAAAATCGGCGGTTTGACCCTATCTTCGGACCCTTGTAAAAATTAACAAATTGTTTAAAAAAAAGATTAGTTTATTTAGCAGATAGAGCATCGAAAATCGTTCAAGATGCTATCCCGAAATAAGCTCTGGCATCGAAGCCTAGCCCGAAAAACCTTCCGAAACAAAAAACCGCAAGAACTTTCGGAACAACCTAATAGCTAGGTTACGATTTATTAAGTTTATGTTCCTTCAGGCAGTTGAATATTATTTGTATTTAATTGATATTCAACTGCCTTTTTATTTAAATCAAGCTGGATTTTAGCGTCTAAACCATTTATTGCATATTTCCAACGCAAGAGCCATTTTTGCCCCACACCAAAACTGGCGAACCAAAACCTGACCCGTATAAGCCGATCCCCATCCATCCCCTTCTCACAAATCCATTGATATTCAACAGAAAATAAGTGGAACGTGAAAAAGCTAGGGTGGGGATGGTTTAGCCCCCCCCCCCCCAACCACAGGGGAGCCCGAGGGGGGATTTGGTGGGCTATGGAGCACGGCGGGAGGAGGATCTCAACTGGTTTGTCGAGCCCGACAAGAAGGGAAACCACGGCAAAAAGGAGATCTCTTCTGGAAGGGGAGCGATTCTGTGGCAGGAAGAGAGAAAAGCACCCCTTCAAATACCATTGAAAAGCACCCCTTAGGCGTCGGGCAAAAGCATGGGGAGCGGACGGAGTCGGGTTTTATCACGTTGGGGATGAAAAGTACGGCTTCTATGTTATCGAAATTATATTTCCAAAACCCGCTTTTTTAAAGTAATTTTTTAAATCTTTCGCGAATTTTAATCTAAATTTTTCGAGAACTTTGCGTCCAACTACCAGTCGCGAAACGCCCCGAGCGGTAAAAACGGTTTTGTAGTTTTTTCGAAATTATGATTTGGAAAATACGACTTTTCGAAAAACGATTTTTGCGAAAAAATTGTGCTCGAAAATTTTGATTAAAAATTTTGAGTTTCAAAAATATGAAATATCATGGCTGATATGACCAAAATAGACTTAAATTGTAGAAATTTAAATATGGATTCAGATAACAAAACCTCAATTTAGATGAATTTCATGTCATTCTTGGACCCAGACAAAATGGGCAGAATGGTACAGCTTGCCCAGGATTTGACGAGAGCTGCAGCCGGTGGAATGGCTGAGGGAGAGCGGGAATCCATGTAAATTTCAATTTTCATTACAATTTACACCCTGCGCCCCTTGAAATTAGCAAAACCTAATTTCTAGACAACGCGCGGCTCAAGTCGAACCTGTCAGTCTCAATGCTCCGCCTTCGGAACTTTTCGCCCAAGGCCTCCAAAACATCATGCTGCCCGCCAGGTAACGAATAAGAAAACAGGCATTAAATATTTATAACTTCTAGACAAGGGCTTTATAAAGCGGTAAATGAGCCACTCTCCCTATTACCTACAACAACGTCCACAACTACCACAACCACTACCACACAAACCCCATTCACATTCCCCACCTTTGCCCCATTCCCGAATCCATTTACAAAACAGGTTTGTAAAATTTGTTGCTCCTAACTACAATATTGTGTATGTTTAGAACCCACCTAAAAAAGTACGGCAAATGCCACCGAAGGCCAAACAAGGAGCAAAAGTCATCAAAAGAAATCCAACGAGACGCGCCCCTCCAAAACGGGTCCAGGTCTGTAATTCTTGCACTATCGAAACCCTTTAGCATCCTGTTCTACCCGTCGAGGATGATGAAGATCTTTCCGATTATTCCGATGTTTCTGACTATTCAGATGATGAAGACTTGGAAAATGAAATAGAAGATTATCGAGGGAGCGACGAGCTGAAAGGGCCCCCAAAACGTCCCAAGAAGAAACAGGTTAGCCCCAAAAATTGCAAATAATACTTTACCTTTAACTTTTTAGGGCAAGCCTGGACGCGTCGCTAGAAAGTCCATTTTTAAAACGACACCGACCACGACTACAACTACAACAACTACTACATCACCACCAATTGAACCAGCAATCGATTCAAGCCCAGATTCCGCCTATATTGAACAAAATCCCTTTATAAAATTGGCGGCGACTTTCTTACGAGGTAATTTTTAGTTTTCATTTTAATTAATTTTCACCAATTCAGGGGCCACTGGATCTGGCACCAGCAATTCTGACGCTGGAGCGGAAGTGAGGCCAACGTTTCGAACCCCGGCCAAGGCCCAAGCCGCCCCAACAGCTGATATGAGTGGATTGCGCGCTAGTAAGTGGTCTTACCCTTTAGGAAAATTATCTGCATTAGTGGCGCGAGCTTTTATGGGTCCCGATTCGGCACCTAGCCAACCAACGCTGGAAACCAGCGGGATCCCCCGATCCGAACCAACCACCGGAAGTCAAGCTGAACTTGGTGTGCTAAACCTTAACAACAGTACGTTGAACTGATCTTTTAATTTTGTTATATAATTTTCGGTCGTCTGTAGGCGTGTGTGTCTGTGTTTGCGGCGGCTTTCGGTGTAAAAAATGTTCTAATTCTTCGTAACCTAGCAGAAACAACGTCCCTCTTTCTGATGGTCTTCCCAGAATTTTCGATAGAATACAAGTTTACAAAGTTTAAGTCGGTTTTACCCAATTTTCGACACGGTTGGAGGGTTAATTTGCACCATGCGAAAAATTGCGAAATGTCATTCTTGCCATTTGCATTCTTACACTTGCTCCGAAGGACTATAGCAAAGTCGAATCCAGCGTCCAGGGCCCGCGAAGCGGTTCTTGAACGCTGGATCCAAATTTATTAAAATGAGTGTACCTGCAGTGGCTCGTCTTGCTCGCGCTTTCATGGGTGGGTCGGAGGGTCGGCCAGCGGCAGGAGGAGCACGAACCTATGCTCCGGAAGCGGTCAGCGAACCGGAGCCGGTGATCCCTGCCAGCGAGTCGCGAGCGCTGGGTGTACCCGTTACGCCGGTTAAGGGCAGCGAGATTAGTCCCGGTGCCGCAAATATGCAGACGTGTAAGTTGTATCTTAAAATATTGTCGGAGGAGTCTACAAACTTCAGCCTTTAAACGTTTTAAATTACAGTGTCTCGACTGGCTCAAGTATTCCTGGGAAGCGGAAACGAACGACCTGCCGCTGAATCATCCAGATATTTGGTCGAACCACAAGCTCAGGGTGTAGCTACAGCCACTTCTGAGCAGCGGGCAATTGATGGCTTCAGAAATGGTACGAATCTAAGCTCAGTGCTCCTATTTCTTCACGTATATATAGGGAGCGCTTATAATAACAGCAATATTGAATATCTAATTTTCAGTAGCCCAAGCTTTCATGGGAGGTGCTAGATCGGCAGCTACTGAAGCGGAGGCGGCTCCCGCAGCTGCTCGACAGCCATATGGTTTGCCGACAATTCGTGATTTCCTGCCGGGAGCCGGCAATAATTTTGGTCTACGGAAAGGGGAAGGTAGGTCTATACTCCGTGACTAAAGCTTCTTTAGGTTGCCTTCCATTCCTCTCTGAAGCCATGCAATTGGTATACGGTAATTGCCAACGTGAGGCCGATCAGAAGGCGTTTGACGCTTGGGGTACCGAGATCAAATCGGCGCTTCTTGAGGGGCGAATGGATTTGTTGAGGGCTAGGTTTGTCATATGAATGGACTTAACGAAATCTGTTGTCTTTAGTAAGGAAACATGCAAGCGCACCGTGGAAAGGCAGCAGTGTGGTGCTCTGAGGGAAGCTATCTCAAATTGTGATATTATGGGTTCACTAAAGGTAATCTTAGCTTTCGTAAAATTGTGGCTACCTTAATCTTAATGACAGATGCGAATATAAAAGTGTTTTTTTTCAGATCAGCTCCCAATTACAACGCGAAGTAAAGCGTTGCGATGAAGTGAATGGGCTAGTAGACCAGGTCAATCACGATTTGCTATATTGTATCTATTATATTTTAGAATCCGATGGCCGTTATTGGACAAGTCAGCCAGCTGATGACCGGCGAAGTTGCCCAAGGCTTCTTCAGCAATTTCCTCAAAGGATAATTTTTGCCCGATTGTGCATATCGAATTTTTTACCGTAATTCCTCATTTTTCTCATTCTCTCCATCTCAATTACGGGTACTGTATGGAGGATTCAAGGATAAATATATCGAGAATTATCATAGTATCACACTATTTAATTCGATGCGAAAGAACAAAACCATAGGTGGAACATATTTTCCTTGGGCTTCTCTATCACCAGGTGTGTCTATGTTTACCACACCGAATAGCCACCACCCCAATGTCCAACGTTTGAAACAAATGAGGCAATTTGTTTGAAGTATCTGGGCGTACTCGCCACGGTTTTTGGCGACCGAGACCGGACGACGAGTCAGCTGCCCCACCCTCGGTTTGGCCCTAGGCCCCCGTCGAGAACCCTTTAGCCCGCCCAGTCAGATCCGGGCAGTTTCCCTCCCTCTCTCTCGCCCCCTCTCTCTATCTCTCACTTCGAAAAGAACCCAAAAACAAGATCCGTCAAAAAGGCCATTCCCTTGCTTCGCTCCCAACCTCTCCCCCGCTTCATAGCCACTTTTTTTCGAGAACTTTATCACCTCGGGGAACGAATATTAACCGGGGGTGGTATCTCATGGCCCCATTGCTTGTTGGGGCCCAGAGTTTCGGCAACATTTTTGATTTTAAAGAGGCTATGAAGGCAGGACAGTTCTTTGGTTCTGCTTCAAGATTATCACCCAAATTATTTTCTTACTCCCTTCTGGGGCCGAAGAAAGTCTTCATACTTTGCATTTGTTTGCAGGCAACAATAAAAAATTTACTCTCTTCGTCGGATTTTGTTAAGCTACTCGCCTTTCTATCGTATGCTAATTGTTTCTTAATTAAGAGGAATGGCCGAGATTTTTGTAAAACTTTAAATATAATATCGAGAATAACTAATTTTATACATCGGCCTTACGTTCGTTTACCGCCAGATCAGCAGGCATTTAAAGAATATCCCACATGTACTACTTTACACAGATGCCAATTGAAATGTCGTGATCCAAACAAAAACCACGGAATGGAGCCGCGGAGCAAGGAATCCCGGCTTAATCTCGACGTAAATTTGCTGCTTTACCATATCGGCCTACCTATTTTGTTATTGTTAGGTAAGCCAAGAGAAAAGCGTGCTCTTTACCAAATAATTTAGCGATAATCTTCAACATCTCTATCCTTGCCTATATTTATGTGCTTTTTCTGTTTGCTATACCATTTTTCGTCACGACAAATGTCAACAAGCATGGTCAGTTTTCAATTACTTAGCGGTATAATAATTATTTACCCCATACTTCCTTAGAATTATAAATAAAACCACGAAGAATCAGAAGACGGCAACAAAGTTAAAAACTTGAGCTAAAATCCTTCAAAAAACTTCCGATTCTACTGATAGCCATTACCGTATACCCAGCTATCTTTTTCTATCTTTCTCGTTAACGTATTGGTTTCAACGTTTCGAGTCCATATCATTGCCTTTAACGAACGTTAACTTTAACGCCCAGCAGGTGGCATGACATCAGCGTTCTGGTATTTTCGCACCTCACCCGCCTTGAGGGCCCACAAATCAGCGAAACCCGAGCGTATTTGCTACGTTCTTTGTTGCGGATGGCTCTCTGGCGCTCTATTATCCCTCCACGATCTCTCACTTGGCTTCCCTAAACCATCAACGAAACGGGGGGTGCTGAGTTATGCGGGTTTTGCTTGAAATTTGAGTCAGTGTTGGGGAGGTGAGCTTGGAGACAGGTCACCCTCTACCCCCTCTTACACTATGATCCGATGCACAGATCAGCTGGGCGGCTCATAGTTTTGAGTATAGATGGTGGAAAAATTTTAGAGGGACGGGAAAGGATTTTTAATAATATTGAAATTTCAATATGTCGTGGTTTACTATAAACCTGACTTGAGAAATCCATCAGATACTATTCCAAAAAACTCGACGTATGCCAATTTCGCGCTACACTGCGCATCTAGATAGCCAGCCCTAAAAGCAAATTAAAAGAATCAAAAATCATCATTATTTTCAGGCCATCCAACTCATTTCCTATGGCTACTGTGGACGTTTTCGGGCGTTTTATCGGTGTGCGATGTAGCTTTCAACGTCTTGCCATGGTTTCTACCAACATTCGATTCGAACGTTCAAAAATGTGGGTTTTAAAAGTATCCTTATTAGTTTTTCGGCTTCTGATTTATCAAAAGTTTTTAGGTCGCCGTTTGGAACGTATCTTTATCGAAATTGGCTTAAGCAGATACACTCATCGGTAAGACTTCGATAACGTTATTTCCGAAAATCGTCTAGCGATTTTCTGGAACTGCTCAGCCAACTTCTACTCAAACATCTCGTCTTTATCGGCGTTGGATTGCTTATATTACGGCTTCAATTAATTCGCTACATCCGTGAGAAAAAGATCTGCGATGTGGAGCATTTTCCGGAGGTTTGGCCACGAAGTTCAGATCAATTACCGTAACCTCTGTAGCTGAGCTATTCCGTACACTCCGATACACGATTTGCCGCCACCATCCAGCATTGTGTCTTTTTGGCAGCAATGATGATTTGTGGATTTATTTATCCGTCGTTGGTAAGTAAATTTATGTTGATCACGCAGGGAAATTCAGGCAACTGTTCCCTACTTTCTGCTCTATTTCTATGCTTTCTTACGCTGGGCATTCGACCGGAATATGAGTGATCGGGTAATCTATAGCCGTCAATTGTAGCTACAAATTTTCAGGAGTTCCGAAGACTGCGAATTCTCACTATAATGTACATTTTCATCCACATTTCGGTGCTTCATTGCTATCAGCTGCCGGCTCTACATCGATTTTTGAAGCCAGAAACTTTCTGGACAAGGTAGGTGTAGAAATAAGGGGCTTGCTGATGTGTTCATTTTTAGAATTTCCGGATTGAATCGATTGCTCCATTTCCGGTGCGATCGGTTTATCTACCCGAAAGTGAGACTTTTAATCGTAATCATAAACACTGATTTTTGAGGTAACGTTTACATGGAGTTGGCCGGAACGAGTTCAACCGTTTGTGCTGTTGATTTTCTACAATTTATGTGTTTATCAGCTAAAAATGGGCGACGAGGTAATTTCAATTAACATATCATAGATAACATCACATGCCTCAAGGTTCCTTTGTCAAAATATCAGTAGCTTTTGACCCGAGTGCTCGCTCTCCCTCTTTTTCGAAAAGAACCCACCAGGGACTTCACACTCCCCGCTTCTTTCCCTCCACTGAGGAGTCGGCCCCATAATTTTTATATTTCCGCGTGCCCAGCCACACATCGCCCTCCGGCTTCTTCACTTCCCCCTTCGTACTCCTCAAGGCTTGAACGCGCCCCATGGGAGGAGAGGAGCTCGAGAATTCTGGGCACTGAATAACCGACTGGTTGGGGTTGTTGCTCGACACGGGGCACTAAATAAAATGACTATAACGTCATTACCATTATAGAAATTCAAGGAAAGGCTAAAATGAGGGAAAGCTTAAATAGTGATAGATTACTATAAAAGTTACGATCCAGAATATTCCATATTCCAAAATAACTTATATAAAAAACGCTATCCAAAATTTTCATTCCCCGGTGCAAGCCATCCTGCGATTGTTTAGTTTGATGTATTTGGTGTAGTGAATTCCGAGGTGTCCTGAAAAGAGCAAATCTTTGCAGAATTTTTGTTTATAGGCTTTTCTAGCAGCCGTCTGACCCTAAACAATCACTCAAACCAGCCAGACAATGACAAAACATTAGGGGCAGACTGGAAGTCTTAAAAAATATGGAAAACTGAGAGATCGTTTAGAAACCGTCACTTGGAGGAAGGCACAAAGGTCAAAGAGTATCCCTGAGGCTTGTGAATCCGCCGGAAATCGCAACAACTGAAGGACCATCCCCCATCGTTCAAGTGACCATCACTGTTGTTGACGAAGATAAAGACCAACCTGCCATTCAGGTATTTGGTAATTTCTAGACGTCTTGAAACGTTTTACAAGCCTAATTTAAAGTTAATCAAAAAATATAGCTGATATTTAAGCTCGACAATGAAGGGATGCTCGATTCTCATTCATCAAAACTCTCCGAAATCCTTTCCCCAATGCAATATATACGCCGCTTTTTCGCCATGGTTGTGGTAAGACCTATTGCTAAACCGTAATAAAACCGATTAAGCACGAGGTGGTTGGCGACAATTTCAAGCTAGCAGACTTCCTGGGGAAAAGCCTAGAATTCGCGAAGGCGCAGGGCTACGTTTTGACCCTCTTTACGATGATGGTATGCAAAAATGACTCTTAATGCTACTAAAATTAGGCTTGGTCGCTGACATTCCATTCTTGGTTGACGTTTGCATTGCTGGCGGCTTCATGCGTTGTCTGGATGAGTCCAAATCCCAAGAAGTTTTGCTTTAAGGTAGGTATCCTAGCCTAAGTGACTTCAAAGTTGCAGGTTGGCCCTTTTATTGCACTGTACGCGACGCTACTGCTGCTCCTCCAGTATGTCTACAGTATGAATTTGACCCAAATCGAGTTGCCTGATGAAAATCCACCGTATTTGCGGCAGGTCAGTTGCTTAACGGGATGATGTCAGAAAATACAATTTTAGTTTGGCATGGAAAAATCAAGAGACAGCCCGCCGTTCATTCCACTTTGCATCAAAGCCATTTACACAATGCTGATTTTTCTTTCTATCAAACAAAAGATTGTTGACGAAAAATTGAAACGTTCTCAAGGTATGCCCTAAGAATTAAATAAATGGCTATCTAGGTCGCGGTTCAATTGTGGCCGAAGAAACTGAAAAATCAATGCTGGAAAGCAAGGAATCGGAAAGTAAGGCTCCCAATTACGGCTTAAAAGCAACAAAATTATAGAAAAAACTCGTTGGGGAAGAATTCGACAATTTCTGGCTGATCATTGGGTGTTATTCACTCTATTTTTGATCTTGGTCATATCGCTGCAAGACCCAGTGGTCCTCTACCGGCTGCTGTATATGACCTTCTTCCAGACGTTCCTCATATTCTTCCAAGTAAGTCAAGAAAATATTTAGACACTAGTCTTTCAGGTTTCCTTCCCAACCTGGCGCCGAGGGTTGTATTTCTTTTGGATGGCAATGATCATCTACTGTATGGCTGTCGTTACTCTCATCTATACCTTCCAATTCCACGGTGTCCCCGATTTCTATGGGCGGTATTTGAATGCTGATGTGTAAGTGGTGGAACTAACTGAAGAAATTGCGTTTAAGAATCCGATCGATCGGTTTGGAACGAATATCATCTGGACAGTTATTATTGCGATTGCTCACGCCCATCTCATTTTTGATATTTTCCTTGATTCAAGTCAACTTTTTCCATCAAAGACTGATGAAAAGAACCGCAAAATGGGAAGAGGTCGTTTTGAAAGCTTACATTGATACTTCTTACCTCGGTTAAGATTATATTCGACAAAAAACCTCAACTCTCCCGGATTTTTGCTGAACTACACGCCCAAAGTGAGATGAGAATGGACTTCTTCCGCCAACACTTTGCCATGGTACAATCGTTAATGTAGGTGACTGGTAATTAATGGAATGTTTGCCGTGACGATCACCACTTGATTTGCCGTGTTTTAATGTTTCCATTTCTCTCCTGCATAGATATGGTAGAAGAATTCGCAAGCTTGCCCGCGATGAGTCCGACGGTTATGAGTTGGTTTGCCGTAATTTTGTGGTGGAGATGTGCTGTGAAATAGCGCTACAGCTTATTTTAATCTTCTATGTTTTCTTTATAAGTGTTAAAGCCAAATTGTAGCCGTCGTGAGAAGGAGGCGGAGGAGGAAAAGGCAAGGGAAGCATTGGCTGAGGAAGAGAGTCGCCAAAAGTTGGATATGAAAGCGAAGATGAGGGTTTATTTGGGAAAGCTGGAAAAGAAGTATCATCATATGGTTGATAAACGAGATCAAGTATGAAGAAATTAAATTTTTTGGTTTATAAAAGATTGTTACAGTATATTGAAGTGATTTGGCGGATTGTGGAGATGCATATGGAGAGGGCTATTTGTTGTTTGATGGTTTATGTGGCGATTGTTGAGGTAATTTTAGAGTTATTCGTCAAGAAGGGCAATTCCTCTACCTGGAATTCTTTAGGTTTCCGCTACAAATATACCAATGATGGTGTTCGTATCGTTTGTGCTCCCTCGAGAACATTTGTATTCTGCTCTCTCCCCATTTTTGGCTGTATGGACCTCAATTCTCGTGATGGGAAAAATGCTCTATCAAATGGACGCTTTTCGGGAGGAGACATTTTTGGGGAATTGTGAGGTAGGGCCTGGGTATTACGGTTTGATGGCTTGGTTTAGACGGATATTCTGAACGGCACGTACTCGGTAATGCCGTGGACTGGATTGAATAAAACGGCTACAGTATCTACACTGTTATGGGTAGGTTAAAGAGAAAAGAAAAGCCATGACTATGGATATATAAATATATATTTTTTATACCCCAAAAATTTACTTTAGCCCTATGTTGCCCTTACCATCGCATTTGCTGCACGAACAGTCGTCTGGTTAAGAATGACAATGCATCGAAAAAATAACCAGGTACGGTACCCCCATCAACCTTTTCTCAAATTCGGCCTTCCAGGAAGCCCCTCCACTACGCGGTATTATATTTTCCAACATAAGCCGCAGAAAAGCCGACAAATCACTGAGCAAATGCTTGCAATACCTTGCAAACTATTTCTTTTACAAATTCGGCTTTGAGGTACCTAGTAGAGCCTTTGAGTAATCCTTCGTTAGTGTTGCTGCATTATTTCCGTGATTACCATCGGACTTCGGTGTGATATCTACTCGGTGATCTACGCCATATTTTTGATTGGTAAGGTTGTGAAAGTAATCTTGATAATGTGGTCTAGTATTCCTAATCCGACGTCGTGAAGAAGTTGCTGCAATCTGGCCAAAATACACCATTTTCCTGGCCGTGACTTTTTCAATACAGTACCTGCTATGCCTTGGAATTCCAAAAATCTTCTGTCTGGGTAAGGGCTCGTAATAATAATATTATTATTTAATTGTTTAGCATATCCCTGGAGCTCGTGGGATCAAGATTTGATTGAATGGCTTTTCTTACCTGATCATTTGGTCCCTCCAAATGCCGTCAAATTATGGGGTAAAATTTAATCGATAAGCTATAGAAAAAATATTTAAGCTGATTTCTTCCAACTCTTGTTCGTCAGTTGCCAAGCCCACGTCTTTTCTATTGAACTCTCTAAAGATGCCGGTTATTATCCTGGAGGTACGGTAATATTGTAGCAATTCAAAATCGTTTAGGCCAAAATTCGCCGGTTGTCTCGTACCAGAGTCTGTATACCTTGTGGTATTGTGCCCTCAAGAAAATAGCTCTTGATGGACCAACGAGAAGGAAGAAGAAAGAACCTATCAACGTTCCCGATTTTATCAGCAATCGGTAATACAGCGCAATTATCTCATTTTTAAAAAATAAATTTTAGAAAAACGTTGTTGGATCTGGCGAAGACTTTTATATTTGTCTATTTTTACTGGATAACGCTGGGAGTGATTTTTGTGACCGGCACGAGCACAGGTTGGACATAAAGAGGGGTTTTGTAAATTGATTTAGTAACGTTATTCAATTTGGGGTATGTGCTTGGGTGTTTTTTCTTCCTATGGTTTGGCAACTCGCTGTTTCTTCGGCCAATGGGTTCGGCATTGCAATTGTA